ACCGATATTACGAACGATATCGACTAGAATCCGTTAACGGCGCACTTTTTTATCTAAGGTCCGGGAGGCTACAGGAAGACGTTCCTATACCGTATACTCGCAGCGACCTATAGAGTACGTAGCCTTATCGTACTGTATATCGCGTCTTTAGGTATCGCCGTATAGCTGCTTCCTAGTAGTCGTATAGCGCACTCCCGATTTAAACTTCCTTTAAGCAATACCGGGTAGTAGGACTGTCCTATTACGTAAGACATAATAGACGCTAAGCTAATCCGAAAGACTTATCTAGTTATTTAGGACGAAGCCGCGATACAGAATAGACGCGATATTATAGCTATATATCGACTCTTTTATAAGTTACGATTAGGTAGTAACGGCTAGGGTAACGAACTATTCTTCGCGGGAGTCCCCGTCGTATTCGGCGGCGACTAGGCATAGACTCTTCTAGTGCTTCCCGAGTATAAGAAGTCTTCGAAGGAAGCAGACGTAATAGCGATTATATTTAAAGCCTTCCTAATCTAGAATAAGATTAAGGTGCTCTATCTCTAGCAAAATATACGGCTCGTAGATAGCAATCCGCGGAACGTCGACTTCTACCGCTAGACCCTCCGTATTGTATACGACGACGTATTCGATCGATTTATTAAGCTACTAACATATATCGGAAGAGTCTAGGACCTTAGCGAGCTTATCGATTTCGTCTTTCTAAGATAGGGTGTTATTAAGGCTAAGTACGACTTAGTATTCTATCGTTCTCGAGCTATCCTTTATATAACGAACGACACCGCCTACGAGATTAACGAACGTATCGTAGACGACCTGCCGTACGGTACAATTCGCGAATATCGCTACGAGGATAAGATAGAGAAGTTGCCTAGCAATAAAGACTAGCCTCCGGAAATCTTAAGCCTTTTAAAATCTATCTAGAACACCGAGCTCTAGATTCCTTGCCTACGGATCCGGGTAGGTATACTAATAATAATTATACGGAACATCTATAAGACCGTAGGACTCGTAAACGGAACGCGGGTTATCGTCGTAAAAACACTCTAGTTCGGGGTTAAAGTTCGGAAACTGCTAGACGACGATAATTAGGAAGTGTACTAGATACCGCGAATCTAGATATATTCGAATAAAGGCCTACCGTTCACCCTTAAGCGATATTAACTTCCGCTTCGACCTTGTTTCGCAATAACGATAAACAAATCTTAGGGTTAATCCCTAGTATATATCGGCATCGACCTTCGACGGCCCGTATTTAGCTACGGCTAACTCTTCGTAGCATTCTTACGCGTTACGGACGTATGCAACCTCCGCGTGCTTATTAACGGAAAGTATACTTTAACGTAGGGCAGCGACTCCCTAAACAAGGTGTTTCGCTCGGCTCTATTATATCTACCTAAGCGTCTCTACGACTTTATTTTTAAGGATAGAAATCTGTTCGTAGGTATAACCTCGAACGTCCTATTACGCGGAGCGATACACGCTATACCTACTAGCTCTACCGGACTAGCGTAGCAACCGCGACGCCCGTAGGGTATACTTAACTACATGCCTCGAGCGTACGTTCCCGAAATCGCTAAACCGCCTACCGGTTCTACTCGAGACGCTATAGAACCCGAAGACGAGCCTAACTAGTATACTCGAAACTTTGTAGGTCTAGACCGCGAAGTAGGTAGCGATAGCAGCCTTCCGCGTAGGGTAGAAAGGGGTCCTAGGGCATTCGTGCTAGGTAACGACGAAGATAGGACGTTAGTCGATACTAGAGTCGGACGATAGCTAAGCTAGCGAGAAACTACGCTAACTATAGTACTAGCGAAAACTTCGCGCCGACCGTTATTCGTAGAACTTCCTAGATACTAACTAGACGACTCCTTAGTCTACCTCTAGAACTTAGCCCTAGGTCCTAGTAACGCCTAATAGATAATACAAGTTACGGGCAAAATAACACCTTCGAAGGAGATTGCGTAGGCAGATCTAACTAAGGCCTCGTCGACACTACCTACGCTAGTACCTATACCGACACCTCGTTCCGTATCTACGGCGCGTACAATCTAATAGATTTTTAAGAACACTACGCCTATTCTAGGTCCTTTGTTCTCTAGGAAGCGACTATCCGGACAACCTATATTGCTCTCGAAGCCTGTATCCCGCACTTAAGTCTCTACTCCGACCTCGATACTATACGCTCTAACGCTACCTCGTACTCTAAGGCTAGGCGATATTACTAAGGCAAAGGCTCCGGTTATCGTATATGAATAAGAAGCTAAGATCCTTAGTATATTTTAAGACGCAGATCTCGACTTCGATATAGAAGACTTTTAGGCTACGATTAGTAGTTATTCTCTATAATATATATATACAAAACTTCTCTATCTATACTAGCATTTTTTTCTCTTTAGGTATAGAGTTTAGCTACCTAAATACGGTTAGCGTATTACTACTTCTCCGAGGCACCGAGAACCTTGTTATTTAGCCGCCTATCCCCTGTCTATATAAGCTAAGTTCCCGGCAGTTCTCTTAGTTATCCTCCTTTCTCTTCGGGTTCTCTGCTATACTCCTAGCGCTAATACAATATCGAGCCTTAATATCGTACCTAAAGTGGGAAAGGATTACGCGCAACAGTTCGTATAAGTAGTAGTAGAAGCATATTAAAAAGGTGAAATTTAGGAAACTAGAACTACGGACTACGCGCTAGCAAAGAAAATCGTAAGCGGTAAAGGGCGAGATCTAGTATTTCGAGAGGGCTATATACGTATACTAGGAGAAGGCGTAACGTAGAAGGGTACCGACAAGAGAGCGAGGCGAGCGGCGCTAGTCTATATCCTTGGCGTAGACGCTAGAAGTTGCGCTATACTAAACTGTCCCTTTCCTTCGAAATATAGAACTTGCGAATCTAACCGTAGTTATTTCGAAGGGTGCCGTTATTCCTATAACCTAGCGCTAAAGCTACTATATAGTAATTGCGCTTATAGAGGAGATCCTAGGAGCTATACTAGCTATATAAACTATAACCAAAAGAGAGTAGTATTACTAGAATTCGAAGACAGCGGGCGGGCTTCGAAATCGAATACTCGACCTCTGTCTACGGAGTACGAATAGGAAGAGAGCACCCTAGAATATTAAGAGACTATCTCTACTAAGGATACTAGCTACTAGTAGGAATACGACTTTACCCCGGACATGTCTTAGAAAGTAGAAGAACTTAGGCGAAGTATAAGCGAAGTATAGCTCTAGCAACTCTTCGAGTTTCTAGCGGAATTGTTGTATTCTAATTCTCCTACGTTTCCGACGTAGTATATTCGAGATATATATTACGAGAGTGTTAACGAGATTGTAAGCGGTTATATACGGAAAACAGACAGTAAGCGAGCTCGTATAGGAGTCGTCGCAGCAGTAGAGCAGACTTAACTAGATTAGGTACACATTTCAAACCGACTACGATACGAATAGCAACAACGGCGGTAACGTACTAAGAAACGCGAGATTGAACATTGCTAGCTTCGCCGACCGACATTATAGGCCTAGTATATATCTATTATATAGACAGACGAGATAAAAATAGGAACGAGAAGATTGTAAGTTACTTTATAGATTTCATTTTTTACGGAGAGCTAACCAACCTCCGTAGAGTATATACATCGGTCCGCGCCCTATAGCGTAGATAGCATATCTTATCTCATTTCCTCTCGCTTTTTCTAACTTTTAACTTCTTAATTAGTATACTATTCTTAGATTATCGCGTTCTTCCGAGCAGCGGCGATACAGATTCCTATAGCAAATCGATTCCTAGGTCCTATCTAGACGAAAGGAGAGCTAGCGCCGAAGTCTCGCGTAAAGTCCGATACTAGGAGGGTAGCGTTCGACTGCGCGTTAACAGTAGAGGTGCCTAGCGACTACTAGTACTCGATAGTCTTAGCGCCGTCTTAGAGGACGACGGTATAGTAGAAGGTTAGGCGGCGTACTACGCCGCTAACGAAACGTACGAAGACTTCGCCTACGACGAGCTTTAAGGGTTAGTATATCTAGCAATATGTATTTATAAACGAGACTTACTAGAGTCGCGACCCTCTTAAAGCCGGTCTTCTTAACTAAAACTCGCTTCGTAGAGCGAGGGGGAGACTCGTCTAAGGACGTACCGGCGAGATCGATAACTTCCTTACCCTTAAATACTTAAGCTACTAACACTGTTAGCGACGCGGTTATAAAGGTTTAGCGACAATATTAAACTTACCGGTAGCGCTCGAGATCTTGCTCGGGGTTTCTATAGGGCTAGTATAGGGGGTAGGTATAGTATCTAGCTTAGTAAAGATAGAAAGGGAGTAGCAACGAGTCGTAGTAGTAGTAGTAGTAGTAGAAGTAGTAGTAAGTAGAAGAAGTTGTTATTAGAAAGGCGCGCGATCTATAAAGCGCGATTTATAACGATTTCCGCCTTATTACCTAGCGCGGCACGGCTATACCTACCGTGGAATCTTCTAGAATCTAGCTTACCCTACCCCGCTCGTCGCCTTAGCCTTTACTTATAGCACTTCGTCCTTTACTTATAGCTCTTCGAGCTACATAAACACTAGTTCCTCCTAACATTCCGCGAGCCGATTATTATCCTACTAGCACTCTACCTTACAGTTATCTATATCGTGCTCTTTACATTCCTAGACGGATATACCTACATCTTCGAGGACACCTACGGAATCTTACAAGGTCTAACCGGAGTCTGCTTCGTCGGCATTATTATTAGTCTATGCGGCGCATTAGCACTCGTCCCGATTATTTACAAATAGGCGAAGCGAGATCTGGCCAAGATCTAAGAACAAGGCGGCTTACGTCTACCTCTAGAATTCCGTCTATAGTATTCTATGCTAGGCGGTTCTATTGCGATCCCTATAAGTCTCTTCTAGATAGCTTGGACAGCGTATCTACATATCAGCATTTAGTTACTATTAGCAGCATTAGTCCTCTTCGGATACGGGATTTTGTGCGTCTTTATTAGCTGCTATTAATATATTATCGACTCGTACGAGACTTTCGCCGCGAGCGCTCTAGCTTCTATTACTTTAATCCGATATGTTACGTCTAGAGCTATAACGATTGTTAGCGTGCCTTTCTATAAGAATCTGGGAGTACATTACACTATTACGATTATAGCTTGTATTTCGGTTCCTCTTATACCTGTGCTATATGTGTTTTATAAGTATAGACCTTAGATTCGGAGTAAGAGCAAGTATGCTATTAACGAGACGCATTAGCAGAAGTGAGCTTAGGATTATTGCAGTGTTTGGCGACGGCGTCAATAGCAAGCATCTTCATTTACTAGAAAGATGTAGTCAATATATCTAAAAGTAATCGCATTCAACATGCCCCTTCCTACCTTCCTAGTCCTTACTAGGGCTTATGTAGCTCGAAGAGCTATACGAGAAGCCTAAGGCGACGAGTAGCTAAAGTCTTATCTAGACGCCTATAGTAGGCCTAATCTAAAACGCGTATAGTAAGTTATATCTAAAACGCTAATACTAAAAAGTAATATTAATCCGGAACGCGTTATAGATATTAGAAAGCACTATTTAGAAACGCTTATAGCGAGCACTATTAGGAACGCTTATAGCAAGATAGTCTTAAATATCTATAGTAACTACTTCCGGAATATGCCTATAGTAATTACTATCCGGAATACCTATAGCGAGTACTATTCGAAATATCTATAGTAAGTAGTTCTTTCCGAGTTAGAACGCTTATAGTAAGTACTACCTATAAGGCGTATAGTAAGTACTACCTATAAGGCGGATACTAAGTCTAATCTAAAACGCCTATAGTAATTTTAATCTAAAACACTTATAGGGATTCTTATTTAGAACGCTTATAATACTAAGTACTATTCGGAACGCGTATAGTAAGTCTAATCCGGAGCGCTAATAGTTAGTACTACTATCTATAACGCCTATACTAAGTTTTATTTAGAACGCGCTATATAGTAATTCTAATCCGAAACGCTTATACTAAGTCTTATCCGGAACGCGTATAGTAAGTACTATCCGGAACGCGTATAGTAGGTCTAATTCGGAACGGTAATAGTAAGTACTATTACGAACGCTTATAGTAAGTAGTACTTTCTAAAATGCCTATAGTAAGTACTATTTAGAATACTTATAGCAAGTTATATCCGAAACGCTTATAGTAAATACTACTAAAAACGCCTATAGCGAGTAGTAATATTCGAAACGCCTATAGCGGTAACTATCTAAGATATCTATAGCGAGTAGTACTATCCGGAACGCGTAGAACAAGCCTTATTTTAAACGCTTAGTATAGTTAGTTCTATATAAACCGGAACGCGTATAGCAAGTCTAATCCGAAACGATTATAGGTATTCGAACTGCTTATAGCGAGCGCTAAGTACCCTATATAACGCCTACTACGAGTACCTTATAAAACGCCTATAGCAAGTACTCTATAGAATACCTATAGCGAGTAGTACTATCCGGAACGCGTAGGATAAGCCTTATTTTAAACGCTTAGTATAGTTAGTCCTATATAGGCCGGAACGCGTATAGCAAGTCTAATTTAAAACGCTTATAGAAAGTCTTATCCGGAATATATATAGTAAGTCTAAGTCTAATCCGAAACTAAATACTTATATTAGGTACTACCCGGAAGGCCTAAAGCGAGTAGTACTATCCGGAACGCTTATAGCAAATACTATCTAAAACGCCTATAGCTAAATAGTATTCGAACTATTTATAGCAAGTACCCTATATAACGCCTACTACGAGTGCCCTAAAAAACGCCTATAGCGAGCCGGAATGCGCCTATAGTAATTGCTATCCGGAATACCTATAGCGAGTACTATTCGAAATATCTATAGTAAGTAGTTCTTTCCGAGTCGGAACACTTATAGCAAGTACTGCCTACAAGGCGTATAGTAAGTCTAATTCAAAACGCTTATAGCAACTTTAATCGAAAACAACTATAGGAATTCTAATTTAGAACGCTTATAATACTAAGTACTATTCGGAACGCGTATAGTAAGTCTAATCCGGAGCGTTAACAGTTAGTACTACTATCTATAACGCCTATACTAAGTTTTATTTAGAACGCGCTATATAGTAACTCTAATACGGATCGCCTATACTAAGTCTTATCCGGAACGCGTATAGTAAGTACTATCCGAAACGCGTATAGTAAGTCTAATATAGAACGCTAATAGTAAGTACTACTAAGAACGCCTATAGCAAGTAGTACTTTCTAAAATACCTATAGTAAGTACTATTTAGAATACTTATAGCAAGTTATATCTGAAACGCCTATAGTAAATGCTACTAAAAACGCTTATAGCGAGTAGTATTATTCGAAACGCTTATAGCGGTAACTATCCGAGATATCTATAGCGAGTAGCACTATCCGGAACGCCTATAGCAAATACTATCTAAAACGCCTATAGGCTATAGTAAATAGCATTAGAACTACTTTTAGCGGACACCCTATATAACGCCTACTACGAGTACCTTATAAAACGCCTATAGCGAGCACTCTGTAGAACACCTATAGCGAGTAGTACTATACGGAACGCGTAGGAGTCGGTAGGACAAGCCTTATTTTAAACGCTTAGTATAGTTAGTCCTATATAAACCGGAACGCGTATACTAAGTCTAATCTAAAACGCTTATAGAAAGTCTTATCCAGAATGTATAAATCAAGTCTAAGTCTAATCCGAAACTAAATACTTATATTAAGCACTATCCGGAAGGCCTATAGGCTAAGACTATAGCGAGCAGCACTATCCGGAACGCTTATAGTAAGTACTATCTAAAACGCCTATAGTTAAACAGCATTCGAACTATCTATAGCGAGTACCCTATATAACGCCTACTCTAAGTACCCTATAGAACGCCTATAGCGAGTACTCTATAGAACATCTATAGCGAGCAGTACTATCCGGAACGCGTAGAATAAGCTAACTGTTACTAACAACGCCTATAGTAAGGCTAACTTAGAGCACTTATAATAGTAAGTACTATTCGGAACGCGTATAGTAAGTCTAATCCAAAGCGCTAACAGTTAGCACTACTATCTAAAACGCCTATACTAAGTTCTATTTAGAACGCGCTATATAGCAATTCTAATCCGAAACGCTTATACTAAGTCTTATCCGGAACGCGTAGAGTAAGTACTATCCGGAACGTATGTGGCAAGTCTAATTCGGAACGCTAACAGTAAGTACTACTAAGAACGCTTAAAGCAAGTAGTACTATCTAAAATACCTATAGCAAGTGCTATTTAGAATACCTATAGTAAGTCTAATCCAAAACGCCCGAAACGCCTATAGCAAATACTACTAAAAACGCTTATAGCGAGTAGTAATATTCGAAACGCTTGTAGCGATAATTGTCCGAGATATCTTTAGCGAGTAGTGCTTTCCGGAACGCTTGTGGTAGATGCTATCTAAAACGCCTATAGTTGCTAAATAGTATTCGAACTACTTATAGCGAGTACCTTATATAACGCCTACTGCGAGTACCTTATAAAGCGCCTATAGCGAGTACTCTACAGAATATCTATAGCGAGTAGTACTATCCGGAACGCGTAGGACAAGCTAACTACTATCTATAACGCCTATAGAAAGTCTGATTTAGAACGTTTATAATAGTAACTTAGTAAGTACTATTCGGAACGCGTATAGCAAGTCTAATCCGGAGCGCTAATAGTTAGTACTACTATCTATAACGCTTATACCAAGTTCTATTTAGAACGCGCTATATGGCAATTCTAATCCGAAACGCATATACTAAGTCTTATCCGAAACGCGTAGAGTAGATACTATCCGGAACGCGTGTAGTAAGTCTGATTCGGAACGCCAACAGCAGGTACTGCTAAGAACGCCTATAGCAAGCAGGACTATCTAAAATACCTACAGCAAGTGCTGTTTGGAATACCTGTAGCAAGTTATATCCGAAACACCTATAGAAAATACTACTAAAGACGCCTATAGCGAGTACTCTATAGAATACCTATAGCGAGTAGTACTATATAGAACGCGTAGGACAAGCCTTATTTTAAACGCTTGGTGTAGTTGGTCCGATATAAACCGGAAGGCGTATACTGTACGCAAGTCTAATCCGAAACGCTTATAGAAAGTCTTATCCGGAATGTATAAAGTAAGACTAAGTCTAATCCGAAACTAAATACTTATACTAAGCACTATCCGGAAGGCCTATAGCGAGTAGTACTATCCGGAACGCTTATAGCAAATACTATCTAAAACGCCTATAGTTAAATAGCATTCGAACTATTTATAGCGAATTACCCTATAGGGCCTATATAACGCCTACTACGAGTACTCTATAGAATATCTATAGCGAGTAGTACTATCCGGAACGCGTAGGATAAGCTAACTATTATCTATAACGCCTATAATAGGTCTAATTTAGAACGCTTACAATACTAAGTACTATTAAGAAGGCGTATAGTAAGTCTAATCCGGAGCGCTACCTGTTAGTACTACTATCTATAACGCCTATACTAAGTTTTATTTAGAACGCGCTATATAGTAATTCTAATCCGAAACGCTTATACTAAGTCTTATCCGGAACGCGTAGAGTAAGTACTATCCGGAACGCGTATAGTAGGTCTAATTTAGAACGGTAATAGTAAGTGCTATTACGAACGCTTATAGTAAGTAGTACTTTCTAAAATACCTATAGTAAGTACTATTTATAATACTTAGAGCAAGTTATATCCGAAACGCTTATAGTAAATACTACTAAAAACGCCTATAGCGAGTAGTAATACTCGAAACGCCTATAGCGGTAACTATCTAAGATATCTATAGCGAGTAGTACTATCCGGAACGCGTAGGACAAGCCTTATTTTAAACGCTTAGTATAGTTCGTCCTATATAAACCGGAACGCGTATAGCAAGTCTAATAATCTAATCCGAAACGCCTACAGAAAGTCTTGTCCGGAATATATAAAGTAAGTCTAACTTCTAAGTCCAATCTAAGACTAAGTACTTATACTTAGTACTACCCGGAAGGCCTATAGCGAGTAGTACTATCCGGAACGCTTATAGCAAATACTATCTAAAACGCCTATAGCAAACAGCATTCGAACTACTTAGAGCGAGTAGCCTATATAGCACCTACTACGAGTACCTTACAAAACGCCTATAGCGAGCACTCTATATAATACGGTATATCTATAGCAGTAGTACTATCCGGAACGCGTAGGACAGGCCTCATTTTAAACGCTTAGTATAGTTAGTTCTATATAAACCGGTACGCGTATAGCAAGTCTAATCCGAAACGCTTATAGAAAGTCTTATCTGAAATGTATAGAGCAAGTCTAACTATCTAAGTCTAATCCGAAACTAAATACTTATATTAAGTACTATCCGGAAGGCTTATAGCGAGTAGTACTATCCGGATTGCGTATAGTAAGTCCAATCCGGAGCGCTAATAGCAAGTACTATTAAGAACGCTTATAGCAAGTAGTACTATTAAATTACCTATAGTAAGTACTATTTAGAATACTTATAGCAAGTTATATCCGAAACGCTTATAGTAAATACTACTAAACCCGATTATAGCGAGTAGTAATATTCGAAACGCTTATAGCGGCAACCGTCTAAGATATCTATAGCGAGTAGTACTATCCGGAATGCCTATAGCAAATACTATCTAAAACGCCTATAGTTTAATAGTATTCGAACTATTTATAGCGAGTACCTTATATAACGCCTACTACGAGTACCCTACAAAACGCCTATAGCGAGTACTCTATAGAATATCTGTAGCGAGTAGCACTATCCGGAAGGCGTAGGATAAGCTAACTATTATCTATAACGCCTATAAAAAGTCTAATTTAGAACGCCTATAGTACTAAGTACTATTTAGAACACGAAGGTCTATTTAAAACGCGCTATATAGCAATTCTAATCCGAAATGCCTATACTAAGTCTTATCCGAAACGCGTAGAGTAAGACTATCCGGAACGCTAATAGCAAGTACTACTAAGAACGCTTATAGCAAGTAGGACTATCTAAAGTACCTATAGCAAGTGCTATTTAGAATACGTATAGCAAGTCTAATCCGAAACGCCTATAGCAAATACTACTAAAAGCGCTTATAGCGAGTAGTAATATTCGAAACGCTTGTAGCGGTAACTATATCATCCGAGATATCTATAGCAAGTAGTACTATCCGGAACGCTTATAGCAAACACTATCTAAAACGCCTATAGCAAACAGTATTTTAACTACCTATAGCGAGTACCCTATATAACGCCTGCTACGAGTACCTTAGAGAACGCCTATAGCGAGCACTCTATAGAATACCTATAGCAAGTAGTACTGTCCGGAACGCGTAGGACAAGCCTTATTTTAAACGCTTAGTATAGTTAGTCCGATATAAACCGGAACGCGTATAGCAAGTCTAATCCGAAGTACTGCTAAGAACGCTTATAGCAAGTAGCACTATCTAAAATACCTATAGTAAGTACTGTTTAGAATACTAATAGCAAGTTATATCGGAAGCGCTTATAGTAAATACTACTAAAAACGCTTATAGCGAGTAGTAACATTCGAAACGCTTATAGCGGTAACTATTTAAGATATCTATAGCGAGCAGTACTATCCGGATCGCCTACAGTAAAGACTATCTAAAACGCCTAAAGCTAAACAGTATTCGAACTACCTATAGCGAGTACCCTATATAACGCCTACTACGAGTACTCTATAAATATAGGAATTTCAATTTAGAACACTTATAATCCTAAGTACTATTTGGAACGTATATAGTAAGTCTAATCCGGAGCGCTAACAGTTAGTACTACTATCTATAGCGCCTATACTAAGTTTTATTTAAAACGCGCTATATAGTAATTCTAATCCGGAACGCTTCTACTAAGTCTAATCCGGAACGCGTAGCGTAAGCACTATCCGGAACGTATATAGCAAGTCTAATTCGCAACGCTAATAGCAAGTACTATTAAAATTTAAGCACGCTTATAGCAAGCGGTACTACCTAAAGTGCCTATAGTAAGTACTATTTAGAATACTTATAGCAAGAAGTACTATATTATATCCGAAACGCTTATAGTAAATACTATTTCAAACGCCTATAGGAAATAGTATTCGAACTACCTATAGTAAGTACCCTATATAACGCCTACTACGAGTATCCTATAGGGCGCCTATAGCGAGTGCTCTATAGAATATCTATAGCAAGTAGTACTATCCGGAACGCGTAGGACAAGCCTTATTTTACACGCTTAGTACAGTATAAACCGGAAGGCGTATAGCAAGTCTAATCCGAAACGCTTATAGAACGTCTTATCCGGAATGTATAAAGTAAGTCTAAGTCTAATCTGAAACTAAATACTTATACGAAGCACTATCCGGAAGGCCTATAGCGAGTAACACTATCCGGAACGCTTATAGCAAATACTATCTAAAACGCCTATAGTTAAATAGCATTCGAACTATCTATAGCGAGTACCCTATATAACGCCTATAGCGAGTACTCTATAGAATATCTATAGCGAGTAGTACTATCCGGAACGCGTAGGATAAGCTAACTATTATCTATAACGCCTATAATAGGTCTAATTTAGAACGCTTATAATACTAAGTACTATTTAGAACGCGTATAGTAAGTCTAATAACTCTAATCCGGAGCGCTAACAGTTAGTACTACTATCTATAACGCCTATACTAAGTTTTATTTAGAACGCACTATATAGCAATTATAATCCGAAACGCTTATACTAAGTCTTATCCGGAACGCGTAGAGGAAGTCTATCCGGAACGCAAATAGCAAGTACTATTAGGAACGCTTATAGCAAGTAGGACTATCTAAAATACCTATAGTAAGTCCTATTTAGAATACTTATAGCAAGTCTAATTTGAAACGCTTATAGTAAATACTACTAAAAACGCTTATAGCGAGTAGTAATATTCGAAACGCTTATAGCGGTAACTGTCTGAGATAGCTATAGCGAGTAGTCCTATCCGAAACGCTTATAGCAAATACTATCTAAAACGCCTATAGTTAAATAGGATTCGAACTATTTATAGCGAGTACCTTATCTAACGCCTACTATAAGTACCCTATAAAACGCCTATAGCGAGTAGTACTATCCGGAACGCGTAGGATAAGCCTTTCGAGCCTACCGCTCCGAGCAAATACCGCCGGATTAGGCGCGAACGATACCGCCTCGAGCAAAAAACGCCGCCGGATTAGGCGTAAACGACGGAGACGGCCTCGGAAACACTGCTATCGCGGCGCCGGAGCGTTATAGTCGATACCGCGACTCCTACGCCCTCCGGACCGCGCGAGAATCGAGAAATTTTAAAGTTCCTCGCCGCCGACCAATCAGAGTCGGCTTTTCGGTCGTTTTAAGCCGCACTAAGCCTAAAGGGGCCCCAACTTTTGTTAAGTTGTCATATTATAGATAATGTAGCTTCCTCCACCTTGTACTCAAACGGCCCGACTACGCCCTTTCCAATTGATCTGACGCTACCTTTCGACCTCACCTTCTAAAACTCCAACACTAACAATCAACCCACCTCTCAAAAACTTCATATCCTCCGAGAAATCATTCCAAAATGGTCTACACCCTCGTCGTCCACCTCTACGCAAAACCCGACCAAGAATCCATCACCAAACTCATCGAAAAACTCAAAGAAGCTAGTCAAGTCTACTCCAAAGACAAAGAAACTTTAGGATGGTATGTATATCCATCCATCCATCCCCTTGCCATCCCATCAACCCACCCACCATTCTCACTTACTTACTTGTACGACGTAGGTTCGTAATGCAAGACCACCTCGACCCCCGCGCCTTCACAATCGTAGAACGCTACGAAAACGAAGGGAGTCAAAGATACCGTACGGAAAATCATCTTCCCCCCTATCTTTCTCTCCCTTCGCTGACTTGACGACTACTACTCAGACCTCGAAAACCCCTACTGGAAAACTTTTGATCCTTACGTCGTGCCTTTGCTAGACAGACCGATGGATTTGAGGAGGTTGAATGAATTGAATGATGAGTCGACGCCGGAAGTCAAGGTGGAGAAGGATGAGGGGTTGTGGGAGAGGGTGAGGGAGTACCAGAAAGCGAAGTAAATAGGCATAAGCGATGCGAAAGGTGTTGTCTGTTTGTGAGCTAGAGTGTCTTGGAGTTCTTAGTATGTATTTGCACCCATGAGGATGCTAGCACCTGCAACTCCTAGATGTGAATGAGGAAGGAGTCGGGGGCGTGTGGAGAAAAAGGGAATTTCGTGGATGTATGCGAGCTAAGCTGTCAGTGAAGGCTTTTGGAATTTGGATGACTGGCTTCTGCGTCGGCTTTGGAAAGCATTGAGGAGCGCCGGAAGAGACGTGCAAACGAGGCAGGAATGCAGCTTTTATCACGTTCCAAAAAGCTCCCTTGAGCTCAAGCTTAGGCCTTACTAGTACCATTCTCACTTCTCATCGCAGGTAAATCTCTAATACTACAATGCTACTGCTCTCTTCTGTATCGAGAGACCATCCCTCCTTCCTAAACCCCAGCTTCAGCTTCAGCTCCAGCTCTACCGAATCGAAATGCCACTCCGATCGGTAAACATCCTCGTAGCAACATTCATAGCCGCAAGTTCCTGGAAAAGAAGCTTGGCAGCATAAGGGATAATGACCTGCGCGATCTTGGTCTTATTCCTGCAAGGTCTGCACTCAAACTGCTGTTTCTTGATCGAAGCGATGGGCGTCATTAGACCACAAATCTCGCAAATATGCACGCGGAATGCATCGGAGACATCGAGGAGTCGCTCCTTCAAGAATGCAGAAGCGCCGTGAGCTATCATACAGTCACGTTCCATCTCTCCGAAACGGAGACCACCGTCTCTAGCACGACCTTCGACTGGTTGGCGAGTGAGGATTTGGAGTGGTCCACGGGCACGAGCGTGGATTTTGTCGTCGACCATGTGGCGGAGACGTTGATAGTATGTTGGTCCGAGGAAGACTTGTGCGTTGAGCTTCTTGCCCGTGTGGCCGTTGTACATGACTTCGAAGCCTCGTTGCTGGAAGCCATGATCGGCAAGAATTTGCGAGATGGAGGTGACAGTGACGTCGGTGAAGGGTGTAGCGTCACCTTCCTGCCCTTGCAGCGCGCCGACCTTGGAGAGTAGACATTCGATCAAGTGGGCAATAGTCATACGAGACGGAATGGCGTGTGGGTTGATGATGATATCTGGCGTCAGACCGTCGGCTGTGAAAGGCATGTCCTCTTGTCGGTATGTGATACCGATCGTACCCTTCTGTCCGTGACGGGAAGCGAACTTGTCACCAATTTGAGGAACTTTCGTAACTCTCGTTCGGACTTTGACGAACCGTAGACCTTCGGTGTTGGTGGTGAGCAATACTTGATCGACGATACCGTTTTCCGTAGATCGTAGAGGCGTAGATACGTCTCGCTTGACATGAAGCTTGGTTCTCTGGCCCAGCTCTTCTGCGTCGGGTGGCATGGGTGCTGTCTTTCCAATGATGACATCGTCTCCAGAGACACGAGATCCGGGACTTATGATTCCATCCTCGTCGAGCTTGTCGTACGTGCCTTGCTTCATCCTCATCGTGTCGGCGCGCACAGGCTTCTCGAACTGCTCCACCACACTCATACCCACCCGCTTCTCCTGATCCATGTAGGCTCGGAAGAAAAGCGATCGGAAGAGACCACGATCGATACTGCTCTGGTTCATGATGACGGAATCTTCCTGATTGTATCCAGAATAGCAAGAAATGGCAACGATGGCGTTCTGCCCGGCTGGCAGATCTCGGAAGCGCAAGAACTCCATACTACGCGTAGTTGCCAAGGGCTTCTGAGGGTAGTACAGGACGTTGGCCATGGTATCCATACGTACATTATAATTGGTGAGCGTTACACCCATAGCTTGTTTACCCATGGCCGATTGCTGCAAGACTGTTAGTCGCTACTCAAGCTCAGCAGTGCTGGAAACTTACATAAGTGTTACGTGGAGATTGGTTGTGATCGGGGAACGGAATGATACTTGCGCAGATACCCAGAATCATGGCTGGGTGAATCTCGCAGTGTGTCCAGGTGCGGACGAAAGGGTTCGGCGGTTGTTTGATGCGGCGATGTGGGTCGTCTCTGGCTTCTTCGGGCATACCTGCTCGCATAGCTTTGTGCTCTTCGAGGTCTTCGGGCGTCATGCTGATCATGGCGGTCTCTTCTTCCTCAGCGTCAAGATACTCGACGACACCACCATCAACGAGACCTTTCCAGCCGAAGATGTGCTTCTCTCGCTCTTCTTCGCTCACGCCCTCTAGATTCTGGAGCATATCTTGGTCCTCTGCAAGCTTTGCGAGATGAGTCTGATCGAGGACTAAACTGCCTTTGTTGTTGGGGGCTTCTGTTCGATTGTCGACAACGAAGAGTGGACGGCAAACACGACCCGCATCTGTGAAGACTCTGATCTCACGCTCACGAACATCTCGAATGATGGTGACCTCAAAACTGAGGAGACCCTTTCTTCGCAGTGATCGTAATGTGTCAGCCAAGTGGCCAGCATTGCGATGCACACCGACCCAAGTGCCGTTCAGGAAGACCTTTGTTGCTCCTGGGTTTATTACCGGATCATACTCTTCGAGCAGATCCATCCCGCGCTGTCGCATGAAGTCAATCAATGGGAAGCCGGGTGTGCCTACAGTAACGTAGCACATGAGCGACAGGTTCTTCACCAGACCACAAGCTTGACCTTCTGGCGTCTCTGCGGGACACACAAGGCCCCAATGTGTATTGTGAAGTTGTCGCGGTTTGGCAATCTTGCCGTCTCGCCCGATGGGAGTGTTCGTTCTCCGTAAATGTGACAGCGTTGACGCATATGTGTAGCGATTCAGCACCTGACTGACACCTGCTTTGGATTGGGACGCCTTCTTCTGGTCACCCCAGTTACCTGTTGCAAGACAGTACCGAAGGCCTGACGTGATGATGTTGGTCTTGACAGCCAGCGTAATGTTGAACTCTCGTCCAGTCTCCACACAGCGGTGTAGGTATTGCTTCATCTCCTTCACGAGCTGCTGGAATTTGAGACGGAATACTTGCGCCATCAGCGGACCTGCAAGGTCAAGTCGCTTCTTTCCGAAGTGATCTCTGTCGTCTTCCGAGGTCCGACCAAGTGCACACTGAAGCAACCTGTTGACCATGTAGCCCAAGAAGAACGCCTTTCGAGTCTCGCTGCCCTCCTCTTGCGAGATGTGAGGGAGAAACTCCTTTTGCATGATTTCTCGTGCATATCGGATACGGCGTTCCTTCACACCTTGTTGATTTCCTCTCTTTCCGATAAAGTCGAGAGCGCCGTCGCGGTCCTGAATCACAAAAGCCTCTTCCAGACATGGCTTGAGCATTTCCAGCATCTGCGTGTCTTTTCGGTCGACAATGTGATTGAGAATGTCTTCATCGGAAACGATACCTAGCGCACGGAACACGATACCAATGGGGATGTCGACCTTGATGTATGGCACCGACACCTTGATCGTCTTGCCCGTGGCATTGCTGTGGGCTGCCTGATTTACCAGCTTGACTTGCATCGAGCTGATCAGTCTCGTGCCCTTTTCGATGGCGCTTCGCAGCTCGGCAACCACAGGTGTAGGTGTTCCCTTCTTCTTGAAGACCTGCACAATATTGGCAGCACTTCGCTCCTGCGCGATCAACACCTTTTCACTACCGTTGATAATGAAGTATCCACCTTGATCGAAGGGGCATTCCTGTTGCGCGTACAGTTCTTGCTCGCTTCGATTCCGCAAGGCGCAGATCTTCGACTTCAACATGATAGGCAGCTTGCCAATAAAGACCTGATCCTTTGTTTCTGGAGGATTGTCTGGGTCTTCCTCCCAAATCGTATCCACTGTGACTCCATCCCAGTTCGGAGGATCTATCCATACGCCGTTTTCACCCATCTGTCCACCAGCTGATCGCTCCCGTGCCAGCTGCATCCTCTTTGTCAGATTCAAGAACATGGGGGAAGAGTAAGTCAGGTTCCGTAGTCGCGCTTCATGTGGATACATGGCTCGTGTGCTTCCGTCACCCTCAGTCATGGCGGCCTGAGAAATGGTCAACACGCCGAGCTCGATGATGTAGCGTCGCTTGACGATAGGCATGTTTAGGCCATCATCGTCATCCGCAGCCACATTCTGGTCGATCACGATGGCGGGCGTTTCGTCTACGATCTCTTGCATCGTCGTGCTCGCAAATTCGTCGAAAGAGTCGAGTTGCTGCGACACCAGACCTTTGGAGTCGAAGAAGGAGTGGATGACTGACCAACAGTCCTCGGCGGTGATGATCTGATTGCCCTCATCGTAGTCGTCCTCTGCCATCGCCATCATCGCATCCCCGTTGTACGCCATCTTGGCGCTCCTTTACCACTAATATGGCCGTCGCTCCGCCGTGCCTGCCCGTCTCGAGTCGCTGTCGTTATGCTATAGCAGATGCTTGGTGGTGATGCAGAACGCGCAGCGCAAAAGCGCGCGCTGCTTCGGATGTCGCTCGCTTCAATTCGTGGCGGTCGAGGATCGGCGACGACGGCGCAGTAAGAGCGGTGTATTGTAGTGTCTTTCACAGGCCCTGAGAGTGCGAGAGGGAGTGAGGCGTGGTGGTGGTGGAGATGGTTGTCGAGGTATGCAGGTCGCGATGCATGTCAAAGAACTTTGGGCGCGCTTCCACTTGCGGCTCTGTCGCTGCGCACGTGATTAGATGCAGGGGTCGACTAGTCTAGTGACACCTTCACTGAAGTTCCTACCTCCATTCAGGCTTGCGGGAAGAAGAATTACGTAACGAAGACTTTCATTAAGCTTTGACTGGACTTTCACGACATTTCAACGGCACCTAACTGATTCTTCTCCTACAAGCCTGAGAACAAACCGTGCTAAACTAGTAGGCAGAATACAGCTGTTTGCCCTCCGAGCCGGTTATACAACAACTCTACGAGAATATAATAGTATAAAGGGACTAAGGCCCTTCTCAATGCCTTTAATAAGGGCCTCCGACTCTGAGATCTAATGCGATGTAATGCCGTTATCCTGTTCTAACTACTGCGAGGAAAGACAAATTGCGACAAAAGTCTTAGTATTTGCCTCCGAAGACGAGAATACGATAACAACCACTTATAATGCGCTGTTCGTATCGTAGAGGTCCTTCTAAAGTATGCTCTTAAGGACCTTATATCGTTTAGGTATCTAGAGTATAGGTACTTGAGGTTCAACTGCCCTCGAGGGCTGCAAATTCTTCTTGAAAGTCCAGATTCTACGGACAACTAGCCTTAGTATACAACAAATTGAGCCTGCATTCCTCGTATTAGCGGATACTTTGTATAGGAACATATTTTCTTCTTATTATTGCGCAGAACAGCTTTTTTGGGTTTGTCTATCTAATGTATAGTTGTGCTTCTATAAATTCGAATTCTCGTTTGTATACCGGACGGTTGTATAGGAGCCGCACGGTTTTCTTTCAGGCGCTCCGCTGTAGGCTTCGCTTGGACCGCTAACACACATATAGTATAGTGCCTTATAATGTAAGAACAGTTGCTATATAGAAGGAAGAGACACGAGTTGGCAGGTCCAAGCACACTACAAAGTGGGGCGCCTGAAAGGAGGTAGTGAAGTTCGTCTATATGCATAAACGCTCACAAGTTCAGACTGACACTCATGATGATGTTCAGTTACATCCACAGCATCGCCTTGCCGGGAAACATACAGCTTCAGGGAAGCCCAAAAGCGTTAGGTGCATAAGACTGACACTGGTGATTCTATACATCTACATCTACATCTACAACTTCGACTTGCCATCCTGCTCAAGCGCCTTGATCGCCCTCTGATAATTCTTCACAAGCTGTCTCACAGCCAAATCGAGCATAACATCCTCACTGCCGCCGGGAATACGCGCTCCCATTACATCCCTATAGATCTTCTCCACGAGTTCACCCTGACCACTCTGAGTGAACCCATTGCCACCGAACAGCAAGACAGCAGTTTGTGCGCATTCGTTCAGGATCATTCCTGCTGTAGCTTTGACCAGCGCAGTCAGGCCGCCTAGTCGTACGTCTGCTTCGCTCTTGGGGAGATATCGCATTTGCCATAGGAACTCGTTGAGCCAGGCTTGTAGCATTTCGAGCTGAGCTCCTGCTTTCGCGAGTCGATGTCGCACGACGGGTTGTTCGATGAGTGCTTTTCCGAAAGCTTCGCGCTTTAGAACATATGCAAATGCGGTGGACAGCGCGACACGAGCTTGTCGCGTGACGCCGATTGCGATTGTCAGTCTTTCGTGGTTGAAGTTCTGCACGAAACGTTAGCTGTTCGCTCGAAGCGTACCATGGTGCAGCATCCGACTCACATTCATCACATAATACATCCCCTTGCCCTCCTCACCCACCAAATTCTCCACAGGAACCTTAACATCGTCCAACTCAATAAACGTCGTACCCCCAGTCTTACTTCCAGTAACGTACAACCTCCTCATCTCCACCCCTTTCACCTTGAGCGGCACAACCAGCATACTCAATCCCCCAGGCCCCGATCCACCCGTCCTAACCGTCATAGTAGCATAATCACTCCAAATCGCATTCGTAATCCACTTCTTCGTGCCATTCACAACATAAAATTTCCCATCCTTGCTCTTCTCGGCCGTAGTCTGAATATTCGCCACATCCGACCCAGCACTAGGCTCCGTGATCGCAATACAAGTCCTTTTCCTTCCAGTCAAAAGATCAGGCAAGAACTTCTCTTTCAGTTTCTGAGATCCATATTTCACAATCGGAGGAATGCCGTACGCGAAACCTGCTGTCAAGCCTGAAGATGGTCCGCCCACACCACAACGATTGACTTCATCGATCCAAATCGCTGTATGTGTGAGATCCCATTCTTCGACCGGTGTCCCTAGGATATCTTTGATTCCCTCGCGATGGAGCCATTCGACTGGTAATGGTGAAGGCATGTTTGGGAGTAACATGTTGAATTTGTTGAACTTTGCGAAGAGGTCGTCGGGGAGGTTTCCTGCGTTTTCCCACTCGATGGCGTAGGGGGTGAAGTGTTCTTCGAACCATGCTCGGCATGCTTTTTGGAATTTTTGGTGTGTTTCTTTGTAGAAGGGAGAGGGGAGACCGGAGAGCCAGGCGGGTTCTGAAAAGGGGATTTGAGTAAGGGGATCTTTGGTTGCCATAATTGTGGGTGGATGAAGTGCAGCGAGCTGCGATTGTGGTGAAGGTTGTTACTCAAATGGACAGTAGCCCCTGTAAGACGCTTCCTAGGGGTTTGTGTTGTGATTTGATGCTGCGAGGGACCACGTCTCTTCAAGTAGTTCAATTGTTTGTCGTAATAGATGTCGTGCAAATAGTGTAGTAGAAGTTGATCAATGGGAAGAAAACAGTAGTCGTCGAAAAATACTTCGGCTATGCAGTAACGACCTCGGGTCTTGACCCAAAAGAATTGGAGCTCACCACCCTGTATGGTCAAGATCGGCTCAGAGAACGCGTGATCTGGAGATATGTGCGAGTCGGAACATTCATGTCAGAGACGATCGGCATCGGAAGAGCATTTTGCGGGGAAGCTGGACCTCGTCGTCTCTCGGGAGAAGTTCATGGCAAATGCGGCTGTTCGCTAATTCAAGAGCTCACCGATTGATTGGCAGTGTCGGAGCGGAAGCTAGCTGATGTTCAGCGGGCTGTTCACATGCTGACCACAGCGCTGGATCCACATCATCTTGGTGACGGGCTTGACTATTGATGCAAAGGGTATTACTGACATTTGACATGGACCAATATACAGGTTTGCCAAAGCTGCTTGATAATAATTTTACAGGACTCGACTCTTCATCCATTTCGTCAAATCGTCCTTGAGATTTGTAATCATAATCAAACCATCACGCCCAGAACAAAGCTCAACACGCTGATCAGCTCGTGGCTGGAGTGAAGACCAGATCTAGTTGACCAACAGTCAACGTGAAATGGTCCTTAGTCTTTGTCAACAACCTGGTCCCATCCTCGCCATCAGCGAAATGCACATCATACTTGAGCAGTAACTGGGTTGTCAGTGTTCGAAGTTCCATGCGGGCAACTGGCACAATGTCAGCTTCCTTGCCCATACCGAAGCGGTATGAAGATACTTACGATTCCGACCTATGCAGTTGAATGGACCCATCGAGAATGGAGCAAATGCATCTGGGTGCTTGACCATCTCGGGCTTGGAATACCATCTTTCCGGAACGAACGACTCAGCGGCTGCGTAGTTGTCCTCGTCACGGCCCATGGGAAACTGTGGTGTGAAGAACGTGGTGTCGCCTGGGATATAGACATCGCCAACGTGAAGGCCTTCCGGTGGCGTCCGCCTGTAGATTCCTGATGGTACAGGAGGATGAAGTCGTAGCGTCTCGTTGATCGCTCCATTCAAATGGGGAGCGTTCACGAGGTCTTTATCGGTCCAGCCATCATGAATCAATGGTTTGATTTCTTCTCTGAGCTTTTTGACTTGGCTTGGATCTTTCGCAAGCTCATAGAAAAGATATGTCAGAGTAGCGGAACTCGTGTCCGAACCAGCGACGATGATAAGACGAGCATCACCCTGAAGCATTGGGTCCGCCTCCGGATGCTTCTCATTTGTGTAGGCCTTCAGGAGCCATCCTGTGATATCCTTGCCTGACTTCTCGGCATTTTCAACCCTCCACTTAATCTCACCAGAACAAAACTTCAAGAATTTGTGGTACCCAGCCGCAAGCCCGGGAATTTCAAGCAGAACTCGAAATACCCACGTCGGAAACCTCAAGCCGCTGAACGTCATTCCTTCGGTCATCAAGTCGATCGCCCAGTGTCTCTTCCCGTTGTCAAGCATATGATAATCCTTTCCAAATGCTAGGCGGCCCATCACATCGAACCCATAGAGTGCAAACCAGTCAGACATATTCATAGGTTTGCCTTGCTTCTCCCCGATTATGGCCACAAGCTTGTCATTGAATTCACGAACCCTCGGCTCATACTCGCGAAGAGCCTTGTCGCTAAAGGCAGGAGCCCAGACTCGTCGCCTTCGGTCGTGCATGCCTTTGTCTCGAACGGTGTGCATGCTGTGATGCGGAGCAGCACCATCGTACCAATCGCCCTTGACAACTTTCGTATCGGGTCCGTAAGCCAGTTGCATGATGTTGGGATCCGTAATTGACAGCACATTGGCTCCGATCCGGACAAACTTGCCATACTTCTTGTGGAATCCGTGAAGGTGGCGGTAGCCGTCAAGTTTCCCAAGTTGTGCTGTGAACCATAGCATTCCGACGCGGGCGCCAAATGGGCCGGGGAACTTCCTAAGAGGGTGAAGAAACAGTCGATAGACAATCAGACTCGAGTACACGCCCACCAGCCAGCATACTGCAAGGGCTCCCACTGTCCTTGCTGCGGAAGGGAGCGAGTGTCCCACGGCATTGGTGAGGTAGATCATGCTGCCAATGCAAGCGGCCAAGAATCCTTGGATATATCGCACGCCGTACATGTGATGTTCGCCGATGCGGAAGTAGAAGACATGGCTAGCTATGCCAGCTGCAACGGCAAGCAGAGCATGCGTTGGAAGATTTTCCACCGCCATGTTCGCGTCTTCTCAAGGCTGCATCTGGTCTTGGGCGAGTCCAGAAGCTACAGCCTTTCGCGCTGCGGAGGAGTGAACAGCTGTATATATGCGCTTGTCGAGAAGGAGGAATTGCGTGCGGCAGGCCTGCTGTAATGTAGTTCTAGAACTAGAGTCCCGGTAAGACAACCAAGAGTAGAAATGCCATGGGGTGGGCGTCAGGCCATATTGCCAGGGCAAGTGGATTGGCTGCTGACTCCCTCGCTTGACTGGCTTCGATGTCGCACCCCTGGACGTCAGCTCGCGATACCTCGCGTGCACGTCTCGTTCCTCTGCCTCTCGTAAACGGTGCAATACCACCCCGAGAGCCGTGCCGTACATCGCCCGCATCATGGGGGTGTGACGGGATCACGATCCGACAAGCTAGCCGATGGTAGAGGGTAGAGGCGGCTAAAGACGACTTCACCTTCATCAACACCCAGCGCCATACAACAGTCGACTATACGCACATGCGAGCAGCCTTGCCAGCATACCGACCATTTCCGCCAGGCACCACTCGCGCTTCGAATGGTCCCTTCATCGTGCCTTGGGCATCCCTCGCAAGAATGGAGCTGCAGAAAGAGCTTGGGAACAAACAGCATGAGCTTGGAATGCCAGCGTCGGGCTGATAGTCGATATGAATGAGTGAGATGCAAGCCTACTGGTTAAGCAATGTGGCAGGAGAACGGTGACGAAGTTATATGCTACCTAAGTTCTGATGTTACCTGCCAAGCCCACATGAGGCCATGCATTATCGTATGCGCACTCTGAGCTGAAGCGCGTCTCACTCGAGGCCTTCCAAGCTTCCTCCTTCTGTGCAACCACCAAGCGACTGCACCGCTACGGCATCCTTCGCCAAACCCCCCGAAATCCCATCAAAAGCCCTTCAATCAGGCTGCTCATCAATGCCAAATCATCCTCCAATCCCAAGTCCCGAGCTCGCCAGCCCTACGACTTCTGATAACAACGAAGTGTCTTGACAATCTGCTCAAGATCGCGCAGAGAGAACCCTTGGAAATTCTCTTTGCCTGCAACATTTTCGATGGCAGCCTTCGTATCGGCCATCACATCGTCAATGGTGTCAGACAGCTCCGCCCAGTCCCTGGCGCCCATGCCACGACTCATGTTCACGACAAGATTGCCTTGCCCGAGTCTGATCTCGGCGGAGAACGCTGTGAACAAGCCGTCATACCCACCCCAGTTCCCCTGGCCCTGGCCCGAACGTCTCCAATCACGGGCATCGCAGACGACGAGATTGATGTTGCGGATGAGAGCCTTGTTTCCTGCAAGTCGCAGGGTCTTCTTAACTTTCTGTTTGATGTGAGTTGTTCCCGCATTCTGGATTTCAATCGTCGACTTGTATTCAGCATCGGGATCGAAGCGGTTGTTGAAGTCCGAAGCCACGACGAGTCTGAAGTGGGTAGTTGCGAAGAACAGTGGCAATGTCTCCTGGCGGATTTGCCTAGAGACTCGAGTGATAGTTGGTAATGCAACGAGGGCCAGATTCTGCCGCTTCCCGAAGTTCTTCATGTTCTGAAACGCAAAGGCATAGACGCGGTTGCGTAGCTCTGGTGGAAGATCCAGGAAGCGGAACGACTTGCTCTTGGCTGCGATCTCTCGAGCTGCGGATCTGGTCTTAAGGTTCTTATACCATCGCTCGAATTTGGCCACATTGGCCTCTTCTTCGCGTGTAGTCCAGAGGTCCTTGATATCAACCTCGAACTTGGGGAAGGTAGTGCTGGAAGACATTTTCGCGTCGACTTCGAGGGGCTCTAGCGTTCGAGTGCTGTAGTTGTAAGAGTATGGAGTGTGCAAATGCTGCTTAGGGTGTGTTCCCTCTTGTAATAGCTTCAGATCGAAGTGGTAGCTGAGTAAGGAATGTGCAAGAGGCAAATCTTATAAGTGGAAGATTGGCAGATGTTGGGTGGTCAGTGCCTCCCATTCACTTAACGAACTTGTGATCGCCCGTCGCTATTCACTCCATCGCGCCGTGAAGATAATGGTATATGTGGCACGTGTGTATTTAGTCTATAGTAAATATTCCTCTGGTCCAAAGTATCCGGATGACTTAACGATCTGGGTGGTATTGCTCAGACTAAGGCCTTGGATCCGGACGCGATCCGATGTTATCGATCTCTTGTCGCCACATCGTTTATGCCAGTATCGTATTCTTTCGCCTTGTAGTCGACTGCCTAGTCAGATCTCCGGTAAGTTTTCTCCATTTCCCGTCTCTATTTAGACGCTCCTTCCTCACTTTGGCGAAGCTACGCTTTAGCGGAGCGCAGAGGGTATCTATAGAGACAGTCCATTTCCGCATATTGCTCTCCATTCTCTATGCCGATTTGAGCCTTCCGTCTGCGCCTGTAAGTGCAGCATGACCAAGACTTTGTTGAAAGGCACTTCGGTGTGTACTCGCACTGTATCAAGCCTACAGAGACTGATGGAGAACGGTTAACACGGGCATTTCAATGGACACAGGAGCAGGCTAGATATAGGTAGTCCGTGGTGTGTCCTCTCTTTGTCGCTAACAGTGTGAACCATTCGAGCGGTCGTGCTGTCAACCTAAGCAGCTCAGCAGGGATGCGACAGTATGTGCTCATATGGAACACTCAAGACTCAAAGATACCCTTCAATTTGCTCGAGAACCTGCTTATCCCAGGATCATTGTGCTGGAAAGAGGATCTCGCAATCAGATGTAGTGTTTCTAGTTTTCTCTTTCTTCGGCTTTGAGATCGTCTTTGCACCCTCAGATCCTTAAGCAAACCGGGACTTTTTGGGCCGGGCTGCTTACAAGAACAGGTTCCTGTCCATTCTTCACCGGATCGTGAAACATTCCTGGTATGAATTGTATACGCGTCAAAGCGTCTAACACTTGGACTATCTCCTTCTTCAGCCTGGAGCGGCCTGCTGGCAGAGTTGCGAAACCTTTCAACTTGGGTCGTCAATCCCACCGACCGGAGGCGCAGTCTCGAAGCGTTATACTGAACCAAGTCCTTGGAATTGTCGCAGAACAAGGCAATAGGGCCACGAGCATCAAATAAGGATTATGAAATAGCGCTTCTTTCAAAGTCCCAGGGAGCTCTTCCAATCCTCGTTCCTCGGTCATGCCTCATCTGCTTCTTTCGCTTCGTCTGCCTTGGGAGGGAGAGGAGTTCCTGCCTTTGGAGGCCCCCCAGATTTTGGTGGAGGAGGTAGACCACTCGTCTTGCTTGTTGTGTTTCCCTCGAGCTCACGACTTTTCTGCTCTCCTTCTGCAAAATAATCATCCAGTCCGGCAGCGGGCGCATGATGTGCCCGAGCCTTTCTCGCTTTTCCAGCTGGCGGTCCTTTGGACGGCGCTGAGCCTGCAGAAGGAGGAGGAGGAGGAGGAGGCGTTGTACCTGGCGCCGTGAAGTTTGCCATATTTGCGGGCACCAAGAATCCGCCGCCCTGTGCAGGTGGTGCATCGCCGGCATCAGCACTCATAGGAGCCTGATATGCTGGAGCATCCTTTTCGTTGCTCTCAAACATCGTTTCTCCAGGACCAGTGGAAGGCTCAGTAAGCGGAGCTGGAATCCTGTGCAAAGCACCATAACCCAGCACACAGCCTAAAGCTCCATCGCCACCCCAATTCCTCGCAGGAGTGATGGTGAGCATTCTTGTCACATCGTACTCATTGTTGTAGACCCAAAGCCGCAGCGGCGCATCCATGTATGCTTCCACAATCCGTCCCAAGGCAGCATCTCCGGCCAGGGCTGGAGCATCGGGAGACCCAATCACGTAGTCGCTGTAAGGCAAGAGTCCAGCAACATCAGCAGGTGAGTTCGGCATCACATCCAGAATATGCCACACATCATCGGCCATGGCCAATGGCGCCCATTGGAGTGCTAAGCCGAGGGCTTCGCCTGCAGCAAGATTCGGCACGGTGATGTAGATCTCTCGAATCTGGCTTCCTTTTGCGCCGAAGATGCCCAGAGAGACGGTGCTTCCAGCACAATTTTTGAGCTCCGTAACAAACAAATTTGGATCGGGATTCTCGATGTTGTGACCATTGATGCCGATGATGAAGTCGAACCAGGGCTCTAAAGGGATTTGGCTGTTGGTGTTGCGGAGGATCTGGAAGCCATAGTGGCCGCCAGAGGACGACTGGGATCTGGCACCCGCGACGGCATTGGGATCCGAGTCAAGTCGGGAGATGAAGCGATTAAGGGCGCCGAACATGTTGGCCATTGTAATGATTGTATGATGCGTAAGCGATGGGATTGTGGGGAGGAAATAATGCGCGTAAACTGAAGTCTGAAGACGTGTTTCCTCCCTGATCCTTGGCCGCGGCAGTGCCCTGAATGTATCCAAAAATAGCGGCAAAGAATGCCACTTTTATTTACTTCACAATCATTATGACAGGCTACCATGCGTCGAAAACATCTCTTCACTGTAGGCACAAGATATCACATGGCGTCCCTCTCCATGCATTGAGCTAGTCACTGCTAGAAGGAACCACGAGCCATCTGCTTCGAAAGATTGCTGACAACGAATTGACATCCTCAGAATTTCTCATTGAACGGCCTCAGATCAATCTCATGCGTCCAGGCACTCCTATGCTGGGTATGCAAACTCCAGTATGCTTCAGCAATCTATCCGCAATTGGTCAGCAACCCATTTCTCTGCCGACAGGAAGTTCAAATTGGACGTACGCCGTAAGGACTGATCTTGCCATCAGGAGTAGCTTCATTGCCATCTGCAAACTTGGCATCAGGCTCATCAATGCTGCCATCAATGATCGCATGCCCGACATGTACTCCCTGTTCCCCAAACTCCCGCGCCAGAGACTGGACCAGCACTCGGGCACCAGATTTGCCCGCGGCAATGACAGACCATAGCTTCGAGCCCCGAATCGACGCAGTTGCGCCTGTCAAAATGAATGTAGGAGCATGTTCTGGCTTGCTTTCGACTGTCGTTAAGAGTTTCGGAATGGTGGCTTGAGCAAAGTAAAACAGACCACGCCTAAGATCATCAGCAAATACCCTGCATACAAATCTCGTTTCGTTTCGCGACTTACACATTGCCATGCAAGCTGGTATCGAGATCTTCAATCTTCAGGTCCAGGAAAGGACGCCTGCTGGGCCGGGAGTTAGGACGAACATTGTAGATAGCCGCGACCAGCTGGAGTCCCGGAAGTTGCTGCTCGATCGTCTCCAAGGCCTTTGCGAGAGAGGCTTCGTCCGTTGCGTCGGCTGCGATGCCAAGAGCTCTGCCTCCGTTCTTATGAATGTATTCTACAACATCGGTGAAACTTTCTGTCCTTCTTGACAACAACACCACTGGATACTCCTTTGAGAACTTCAATGCCACTGCCCGTCCTGTCCCTGGGCCGATACCGGCGACAAGTGCGTAATACTGGTTGGAAACCATTCTTGGATGCAGAGGTCGGCTTGTGTAGCAGGAGCAGTAGCATGAGCAGCTAATGTTGTATATGAGACATTGCGCATCAGGTGTATATGTCTGAAATATCAGACTGCATTGCGTGACATGGCGCTATTGGTAAGCTAGTAGTTCTAGGCTTAACACCCCTTAGCAACGCGCCAAGACTTTATGCTGTATAATTAATATAGTACGAAGATCTTTAAGAATCAAAGCTTGGCGGTTTGTGTGTGCAAGGATATTTTTAGTGGCGATGTGCGCTTGCCAGTCGCGAGAAAATAACAAAAGGTTACTGTTCGTATATAGTAGGTGCTACCGGAAAGATAGCTAAATGTTAGCATAAGGCTGTTAATCGCCGGCACTCGTAAGAAGGAAGAAGTCCAGAACGGAGCCTGACCCGAGTGCTACACGCTCAAAGTTATTAAGAAGTTAGTCTTTGTGCACGGCAGTCCATCTTGATATACGTCGTAATATATAGTAAATCTATAGTTTGCAAGAGTAAGAAGGAGTGTCGATGAGTTACTAGTTCTACCAGGTGAGGTTACAGGGCGACGAGTTACAGTAGTTCTACAATTCTCAGCGACAAAACCCCTATTAAATATTCTCAGAACGGAAAACCCCAAGCTTTTTTTCAAGCCATCAATTGCGCGCACTTGTGATGCACATGCCTCTCAAATGGAAACGGTACGACTGTTCACAATTGGAACCTCGTGGCCGCTTCACAAGTCTGGACTCTGCGCGGTAATAAGCGCGAATACGGTCCTGGATTGCAGTATCGAAAGCAATGCTTCGCGATCTCATTCCATCATGGGATGATCCCTCAATGTGCCATACGGCTTTTTCGGCTGTGGAATACGACTCATCGTGGCTTCCCCTTGTGATTGCGACAGGTTGTAGGGATGCGTCAGAAGTAGCAAGACGGTGTGGAATTGATAGATGAAAATTGACTCGGAATTATGGAAGGTTGGGCTCTCCATACATCCACTACCGGACTGTATTTGGAGAGAGCTCAATGTTCGACTTCTTGACAGACAACAACGACTGCTTCGGACTCTGCTCAGCAGAACTGCGCAAGCCGCGTTCCTGGCTTCTATGGGATGTTCTCGACCGCAATCCCATCGTCGCCGTGTTCCGCAAGATATCTGTCGATAGCTGCTGGCAAGTCTCGATTGTATCGCCGCAGGTAGATATCAGCAGTCGCAATGGGAGCGTATGTAGCCCTGATAAAGGCACTTTGTGCGTAAGTCCGGTCCAGTGGCTCTTGAGCGGCACCGTAACGACGCAAGCCGGGTGATTGATGGCCTCCAGGTTGAGCGCGGTGTTGGAAGGTCTGCATATTGGCCAAAATGTTGGCGTCAGCAGCAGCATCTGGTAGTGCCTGATTGAAAGGGCCACCTTGAAGAATGCGCTTCGACTTTTCATGGTCCTCGATCAGCCGACGCCAAACGCTCTTGTCTCGCGGATTTGTGACCATACTCTGGTTCGCGATGATGATTCTACCGACCTGAGCTCTGCTCATAGCAACGTTGAATCGACGCTTGTCAGCGCCAATAAAATTCATTCCAGAAGCGAATGCTGCGCCCTGCATGACTGCGTCGATGATAGTGACCTTACTTTCCTGGCCCTGCGCTCCATCCACAGTTGTGACAGTGAACGCATCCGCAAGAGGCGCGTCTTTGAGTATTGCCTTGATGAGCTCGACTTGGTCGGTGTAGAACGCAATGACCATGATGTCACTGGCAATATACCCAAATCGTAGGAGCTCCAAAACGGTGCGCGCTGTAATCCATGCCGTATTCAGGTTGTACCTCGAGGTACTGCCTACAGCCCGTTGAGGTGCAAGCGTGCGAGGATCCCCAGGCCAGTTGACTGGAGACACTACGAACGAATTTGTGTCCTGAGCAAGATACTGTTCCCCCATTGTGGCGGCAAACTGTGTCGCAAATTTCCGGAACCTAGCGACTTGTCCGCCTTGGCTCAACGTATTCAGTCCATCAATAATGTGAATGCTGTCTTGCTGATATATAAGCTGTCTCGAAGTTTGACTGATCTGCGGTGCCATTCGATATTGGGTTTTCAGCGTCAATACCCCAAACCCTCCGCGAATCAGACGTTCGAATAGCGACAATTTTGCAGTGTCGCGGAAAGGATTGTTCCCTGCCGTGATGGTTGGAGGAAGCTGGTGATCATCTCCGATCTAGGAAGGCGTCGTAATTCTCCACGCTTGACCGCATATAAAATGGCACCAACAGCGCTGGCTTCCTGGAACTGTGACGCTTCATCCATGACCATGCCTCGTGGAGAGAACCTACCCATCAATCGACCAGAGGACGCTGCAGCCGTAGAGCAGATGCCGAGACATGCTCCGACATAGTCTTGTTGAACTAAGCCCAATTGATTGACGAACTGCCTCTCAATTCGTTGCAATTCCTCCTCGTACTCTCTGCGAGAAGCATGCTGGTAGCCGAGAGTTCGAAACGCTACCGCTCTCTGCTGTAAAGTGTCCAACATCTGTGCCTCGTTGGTGTACAACTCAATGAAACCGGCGCTCCGCGATGCTATCAATCTAGCCTTGATGAGATTGTCGAGGCTCATGGCTTTGGCGACATGATCCTGATCGGACAGGAACTGCTGTATAGCTTCAGCGAAAGTCTGAGCACCTGGACTCACTGGGGTAGAAGGCAATGGCAGAGATATCACCCTATTCTGCGCCACAGTGTAGTTGAAGCCTTCTTCGACCGAAGCCCTCAATCGGAGCAAACGCTTTGGCTGTGTATCGCCGCAAGTTGTAACTAACTTTCGCACCAGAACGTCGCATGCGTCGTTGCTCTCAGTGCACAGCCAGTGACGTTGTTCGAAATCCCTCTCCAATCGTGCGATGACATCGATCAGCGTGGTCTTTCCAGTTCCCGGCGGGCCACGCACAAGTGTCACTTGATGCGTGAAGTAATGTTCAACGATGTTCGTCTGCTCTTGATTCAAATTCTGACCACCTCTCCCTGCCATGTTTGTGGAGTCTGCTTAATTGTGACAGATATCTGCACACGCTCTCCGACTGTAGGCAGGCCTTGTCGTACCGGTATTGGTTCTCTTGCATCGTCCTGTCCTCGGCTCATCACGTCGCTCGGTAAATTAAGCGCAACAAGGTACTTGCGCGTTCCTACCACGTCGCCACTGGAGCTAAAGATCTCACATTCATGACTGCCATTGAAGTGATTGCTCAGTCGTGAACGCTCGTTCTGCTCTTCGTAGGCGAAGCTGCCCAGGACAACCGCCAAGTATTGTCTGGAGTCTTGAAAGCGTATAATACGATTTTGCCTTGCAATTTGAAGTTGCGTGGGCAGCGTGTCCGCATTTGGTGAGTTATTGTTCCAGTTGCGCGGTCTAACCGCGAATAGCTTCTGAATGAGGTCAGGAAAGAGCTCGAAGCTTCGCCCGGGAGCGAATTCCATGATACTCTTCCAACTGTCCCGGTCCGTGGGATCTATTAGCCTGACCCACGGCCACCATGACGTGAAGGAAGAGGGTGGCATTGCGGTGAAAAGTCTCCAACAGACACCAGGAATGGAGTCGTTGGATTTGAAAGCCACGAACATGGTGGCCTTCGATTCGATGACACGGCGGATTATTGATCGAAAGGTGTCAGTGTCCTTCTGCGACGCTTGGGGCACTGGCTGAGAGAAAGCGTACTTGGTGCAGGAACCAGCCTCGAATGTAAATATATGAGCCTTTTTCAAACTGAGGATGAATTGCGGAAGAGTTTCGTCATCGCCACTGCAATAGCGGACATTGCGGAGCTGGTTCGAAAAGGTGAAGGGTCCAGGCGGATAGGGATTAGGATCGCTGCGGCCAGCATACGGAGCACCTGGTGCGGATCTATCCTGCACGATGTCCTCGTCCGGATAAGCTGCAAACTCGACGGCAAGACGACGGTTCTCATGCTCCGTCTTTTCTTCTTGCGTCATATTTTGGCCCTTATAGAAGGGTGCATACTCAATTCTGAAGACTGGCGCGAACGGTGAAGGAGAGACCTGAAACGAGATGTTGCGTTCCAAAAGGAGTTGGGAGTTGCTTTCGGCAGCATGACATCCTAAAATTGCACCTCTGGCGATTTTGGCGTCGCTTTTGAGTAGTGCCAAACATTCGTTCGTCTGGCTGACATGAGCGCGGTTTGGAATGTCGGCTTGAAGTAGCCAGCTCCTAGTCTTCGGACCCACGGAGACCGGAGGCATTGCTATGTTTGCTTATGATGCTGTCGCCAGGCAACGGTATAGAGCAAGCGTGATTCGGAGAGGCGATTGATCTGTGGGAGGGCCTCGATGATGGCGAATGCTGTCGCTTCGAGCGTTGTTGTTGTGGATGAATGTCGTGAAGTTTTGCTTACTTGTTTGGCAGTCCCGACTCGTCTGCTATGGAAAGCGTAAAGGGCTAATGTGAGGTCAGCGCGGTCTCGATATGAAAAGAAGGCGGGCCTGAGAGCAAATTCCATGCGCATCACATATCAAGACTTCCTGCAAGAGCTGTTCACATTCGTTCCTGCCTCCTCTGCTTCACCCATTCACCAAAAGGTTTCCAGATAGCCTCTTTCTCATGTGGCCTCAGATTTGCAGCCAGCCCACTGGTAGCAGTCGCAACAAATACCACAGCACCAGGCCAATCGTCTGTCTTGCCCATACGTTCCTTCTCGTCCTGCCAACCATATCTAAACTCATGCTTCTGAATCTCACGCTTATACCGCCAGCGCCAGATAGACTCCCAGATGCCCTTCCCCACGACGCAGACCGCCTCTGGCCGATACTTTCGCACTTTCTCTTCCAACAATGGAGTGCCTGCTGCGGATTCAGCTTTGCTCAATTCGGCTGCATCCTTGCTCGGTCGAGCGACAATGTTCGTGTTGCCCATACCGTAGAGTCGGGGCAAGTCGATGTCCTGCTCAGGCACCAGGCGTTCATCCGTACAGCCACTGCTGTGCAATAGTTTCCAGAACAGGTTGCTCGGGTGCGCATAAGCGTGACCGGTCTGAGCCGTCGTGACTCCAGGATTGAAGCCGACGAACACGCAAATCAAATTCGGTTGCAGGATGTCTGCGAGAGGCGTCAAATGCGCATATTTCGAAGGCGGGGCATATTTGCCGGATTGCCTGCGTTTCTTCGCGGGTGAAGCAGAAGCAGACGTCAACGATGGAGCAGCGGTTTCCGAGACTTCACTGATTGCCCGCTTGCGACTGCTTCTTCTCAGCTTCGGCCGGCTGCTGGAGACACTGCAGTTGCGACCCGCGCAGGAGATCTCATCGGTCGTAGGTTCGTCTGTCATGGGACAAGTAGAGGACGTGAATATTTATTTTCAAGCGCGAGGGGGCTGACTAAGCTCTTGGCGCTTTTGATTTCTCGTGTCTTCCTCTCTCTCTTTCCACGCAGTACATTATTTCCCTGGACTGGGTATTTGATTTCCATCGCCTTCGCAGAGGAGAGACTTCTCGGCCCAGCGAGCTCTTGCTCTTGCCCGGCTCTCGCTCTCCTCTCGTGATGCTCCAGTCGGCAGACCGCGGGCGGGCAAAGGACTGAGCGAGGGAGGCGGCACTGGAATGTCGTGAAACATTCATGCTCTCGCCATTTCCCTTATGCACTTCCATTCTCTCGACAGCCTCCTCGCTTGGAGCATTAGAAATAGATCGCCCAGAACTCTGCCTAACGTAAGTGCTTGACGCTCTCGTCTACAATCTCTGCTGAAGGACCGCCATCATGCCCCGCAAAATTCCACGCTCGCGATGCATCATAACCCTCGTTCTCCTAGCTGCTTCGACTTCTGCCCGACATATCCATCATCGGCCCACTCATCAGCACTCGAAGCGAGCAACACCGGTAGTGATTGCTGATGCAGCGTCGCCTGTCAAAGAGGACGTTTCGCCATCGATTACCGAAGATATTCAAGACATCCAAGAAGGCCTTTCGAACCTCCCGGGAGATCTTCTCGACTTCGTCCAAACTGTCGAAGCAAGGCTCGAGGAGCTCGAAAGCATGCTTTCAAGTTTGATGCTTGGGAGCTCCTCTTCTGCAACCGAGTCTGTGTCCTCGTCTTCAACAAGGCGGCCTCCCGCGCCATTCTCAACGTCGCCTATGGCTATGAATACTACGGCCACGATAACCTCCAGCATAACCGCGTCGCCTGTCTTTTTCACCATCTCAACATCCTCCTCTGCCTCCGCAAGCAGCTACCTGCCCGGCGTTGTCCCAGTCGTCCCTATCCCGACCGGCTTTCGAACATCGAGAATCACGTCCACAAGAGTCAAGACGGTGACGCTACAGCCGCCACAAGGCACAGGCATGTCCTGGCCTTCATCCAACAGCACCTCATCTCATGGCAATTATACATCGACCTTGGCGACAACGGGTGGCTTAACGCCTGTGCCAGTCAGGACTCTTACTGTCGTACCTGCGCCGGGAACCGATGCTGTGACAAGCACGAGGACCAGTTCTTGAACAGGCACGTGAGCTCGTAATTCTTGGGAGCAGAATTTGCGGAAGTCGTTCGAGCAGCGTGCTGGCGTCGAGGGGATTGAGTTATGGTAGGCCTATGCCCCGGGAGTCCATCGTTACGCTGATATGCGCGGCGATCCATGTATATGCACAACGTAAATAGCAGAAACGAAGCCACGCTTTGACAAGGAACTTCATGAATCGTGACGGAGAGCGCGGACGCCGATACAGACCCACCTCCTCTCAATTCGGCATTTTTTTCTTCCCCCTCAACAAAGAGAGCCTGCTTTTACGCCAAAAGCCAGAGCCATCTACGGCAATGAAATCCGGTCCTCTTGTCACCGTGAGATCACGATTCTTGACGCCATGCAATTTTTTCCGTCGTAACTCTTTGATTAGTCACCAGTTTGATGGGCGTTACATGTTCGTCTCGAAATCAGACTGCGTTGCCAAAACCATCATCTAATAAACAGGACACGGCGAGGGAGGCGATCAAACTCTTCATCATGATGTTTGCTTGGCTTTTCGGATCAGCAGACAGACACGCCACCGATATTCTCAAACTCCGGAGTTCGAAGACTTTTCATTATCATTACCGTGGCATTAGCAGTCTTCACGGACATCTTTGCGTGTGGCATTCCCTTCGCCTTGACGGAACGAGCGAATCTTGACCCGGAAGATGTTCAGACATGGGGCTCAATTTTCCTGGTTGTGTATAGCACGGCCTTGCTTCTAGCCGGCTGGATGGCGGATAGAATGGGATCGCGACAGTTCACTCTTGTGCTCGGATTGCTGGCTCTTGGGGGGTCGACTGCTATGCTTTGTGCGGGAAACAGCATCGGAGTGTACCTTGGTGGGCGCATTCGGCAAGGAGTCAGTGCTGCGGTTGTTTGGCTCTGGTGGGCGATACGAGATAGGGACCGGCATTGAGAAGACGGGATGTGATCTTGTGCACCCCCAGAAGGGTGTGACAGATGACATGGCGGTGGAAAGACAGCCCAGCAATACAATATCAATGCAGCAGAAGCAGTAATACCAGAAAGTGCTCTTGCTCCGCTAAGAAGCTTTGTATTCTAGAGCAGTTGCCACCAGTGGTCTTTCTTGGCAAGAACGGCGCATGTGCTCAGGCATAGGCTCTTTTCAACATGGCTTGGGCCGCAGGTGGCATGATTGGGCCTTTGCTCGCTGGACTCGTTCAGGTAAGATCTCGAGCGCAATCCCTCCATTTCGCGAGGTCCATACTAATGGTATCATCCGAAGGAATCTTACGGCTGGCCTGGCCTACAGCAACACTCATACTTGGCTGTGTCAGGATCTTCACCGCGCTCATCAGCCTGGCCGAGCTCGTGGCACTTGTTCGGAGAGGATGGCGGGAGACGGCAGCTAGTGGAAGTTCACATTCTTTCATCAGTCTGACTTCTATGGCTCTTTATGCTTGATTCTGGAAGAAATGTCCGTAAAAGAAGGCTTTAATATATTAATGTTTCGGGAACTGCTGCCCAGTCCTTCACATGCACCAAAATGATTGGTCGGCTCGATTCTTCCCATATTAATGCTTTTGAATAGATGAATCTAGTAGCCACTCCGGCAGATAGGAACACTCTTCGAACTCGAGACGGGTAGAACTAGTCGGAGATGCACGCAGCCGATAAAAGAGGGGTTCCGAGAACACACTTTCGAGAAGCGCCATGGGTTGAGATGCAGCTCTTAATGAGGTCGAGAGGACCCTGCAACTGTATCTTGCTCGGCGTCCTCACTAGAATCCCACTCGTATGGAGACATGACTCCATACTCGGCAGCATATGGATTCTGTGGCAGTGGATTCCGCTTGATGGCTGGTTTCTTGCTGTTCACATTTCGTGGTAGCAAGTCCTCTTCCGCGACCTGCTCACCAAGGACTACAACCCAGCGCTCATCTGTTTCCGTCCTCGCCATACCAACTCTGCTCCAGAGCTCATCAACAAGTGCCACATACATTTTGTGGTTGTAGCAAGCACAATGCTCGAGCTGGATGGCATCATCGACAACCTTTTTGTGGTTCCTTTGATCATGACGAGGTTCTTTGCCTTGCATCCAAATATCTGCTGTCGTCAGGCCATCGAACCCAGTAGGTCCGACCAGGATGGCTTTTGATGCTTCGTCATCAAACCACAAGGCGCTGCCACTGGACAGGTCGGGTGTTGCGCCGTATAGTGTCGCACTTTCGGTTTGCAGATCGTGAGCTGTTGCTTCTTCTTGGGCCTCTGCACATAGTCTCTCGCAGTACTCCAACGGCTTCAACTCCCGATCGGATCGGATCGTGTTGATCTTGTTGATTAGGTCGTATACGTCTCGCTCAGTGCTCTGATATCCTCTGGAATCTATTTTGCCACCCTGATTGACACGCTCGTATCCACGTATAGCCTCTGACTTGTGCTTGTCTGCTTGAGTAGCGGAGGGCAGGGCATATCCGATTCGCCAAAAGCTTCGCTTACTCTTGAGCCTGTGGAATCCGCTGTCTTCGTTGCTCGCTTTTCCCTGTTGGATGCCCGGCAAAGATGAGGCATTAGTATTGCAAGAGTCCACATGAGTATCGAGAAGCCGAGTACGCTCAACAGTGCGTTTTCCAATACTCCCTTCCTGCGCACCTGCATGTCCATTGGTCATGAAAGTCAACATCTTTTCAATCTGCTTTGACAGCTGTTTGGACTGGGTCGAGTACGGCTGAGTGGCAGTCGCTGCTGGAGTGCCTCTTAATGAGGTCTGTGATTCAGAGCCCTTCTGCTGCGTTTTATCAGCTTTACTGGTTGCTTGCGGTGTCCTAGCCTCTTGTGGAACTGCGTTTTTCGAAGGTCCAAAGTCAGAAGCAAGAGGATGATGCTTGTCTAGTGCAGCCGAAGGGAGAGGTACTCCAGACTCTGCTTGCAGGGCCTGCACAGCTGCAGCGTGCTGCTTGGAGTATGCTAAACTACTCACTCTGGGCGGGAATGAACGCGAATGGTTAACTTCTTCGACCTTCTCGCCCTCAGACCGTCTCAGCTCGGTTGATAAATCGGACTCTTCTTCTGGTATGGGAGCGCCCTTCGTGCTTTCAATCTGCTGAGTAGGGTTTGATTCCTCGTTGGCATCAAGGTGGGGAGATTTTGAGCGGATCTTATTAGCATAAGGAGCTGATTGCTCTTCCTCAACTGACTTGTCATCATGACTTCGACTGACTGGAGTAGCACGTCCATCTGCCGAGTGCACGCTATATCGTGACCTTTTCGTGTGAACATCGCGAGTTTGCTCCGGGTCAGAAAATGTCGAGGACTTGCAGATGACAGGCGGCGTGACTTTTTGGTCCCGAGCCCCGAGTTTGTAGCTCTCCTTGAGATCATGCTTGTCGAAATAGTTGATGCCTTCAGATGTAGAGATCGCTGCGTTTTCGTGCAGAATGAAAATCGAGTCGCTACGCGTGGGACTGCTGACACCTGACAGGCTCGCACACCTCTGATCATGATTATCCTCGTCCGGGCGCTCGTTTCTTGAAAGTCTGTTGACGCTCAACCTCGGTCGAAGTATAAGAAGTGAGGCTCTAAGTCCGAGATCTGGCAAAGGTGCATCCCACGTCTTAAGCTTCTCATGGAAGCTTTGTATCGAAGACCGCATAATCTACGTAAGATGCGCCTGTAGCATGTATGAGTGCGCGCCACGTCTACAGATCATGTTCTTGATCAGATTGGTGGCATCAGTGCAGCAATTTACTGTCCTTTGGGTATGTGATATGATAACTCTCATCGTGATGAGCATGTGACGGCTTGGCGGCTGCATGTGAGTCAAGTGAACACAATGGCTGCGAGAAGTGAGCAAGTCTATCAAGGGTAATCTCAGGTTCCGCTTGCTGGCTGATGAAGAGGTTTCGCTTGTGAGAATCAGTTGAGACCAGCCAGCAGGTACTAGCACTTGACAAGTCCCTCCCGAGCCTCTTTGGATGGCAGTTGACATTGTTCGATAGCAGCTCGTTGTTTGTAGAGGAAGAAGTTCTCAGGTCCGGGTCCGGGCAGGGAGCCGGGTTAAAGCACAGCCACAGCACGAGCAGCCACATGCATTTCCAAGATTCAAGATTCTTGTTGATGATGTCGGCGCGCATGCGAACTCGTGGAGAGAGTAGTTTGCCTTGTTTCAACTCACGATCTTCACCAAAGACCTATATGGGATCAACCTCGCCCGTATCAGATCACCATTCGCAGCTATGGCGGTCCGTGTCATGCTAGGTCAGCGGCTGTCCTCCATCAGCCTTGATACATGATCCTTCTTGCAACTTCCACATCTCCGCTCCTGCACATAGCATTATTGCACAGCATCTGTCTCGCCCGGGCCGATCATCACTACGACAGCCATGAGGGGCTTCATCTACCGCCTATTTCTCACATGCCTCAATATCTTCTTCCCCCCAGCCGCAGTCATGTTGCTGTGTGGTTTCGACATGGACCTGCTTTTGAATTGCGTTTTCTTCTTACTGGCAGTAATACCCTCACACATTCATGGTTTCTACATTAGCTGCACCTATTTTCATCGAAGACACAAGGTAGTCATATTCCGGCTCAATCAAGGCCAAGCTAACGCATGTATCAGGTCAAGAAGCGCCGTTATCCCGGAGGCCCGAAATCGCTCATCTATTCGTCTTACGTGACGAACGGCGGCGCAAGCAATGAAGAGGTCAGAAGCCTGTACCGCAAAGAGCACGGTGGAAACTCGAGGAGGACCAGCAGGCGTAAGAGCAGGATCTGAGAGAACACACCAAACGGAGATGCTCAAGAAAGCAAGCTTGGGAGGAGACCCACAACTTCGAGCAATGGTCAGCAACGGCCTTTGCCGCAACCTTCGATGCACTTATACGATACGTTGCGAGAGATGGATACGGACAGTCTGTGCAGAGTGTGCCATCGCACGCGCAACGACCAGTTCCACCAACCCCGAACCGATATATTGATCACCTCGCTGCATGATCAATTTCGCGCGGGATTCTTTCGAAGACGAGAATGTCAGGAATGCAGAGTGGCAGAGCGACAACACCGCGTCAAATCACGGTTTTAGAGTTTTGCGACCTTGAACAAGCACTTGCTCCCTTCGACTTGCTGGCAACACCGGAATCTTACAGCGGCTTGTTCTGTTTTACAGATGGTGCAGTGCTCATCAAAAGCGAGAGGCGAGACTCGTTGAAGCTTGAAATTTTTTCGGAGATGGGAACACAGAGCTCGGCCATCTACAGGAGCTTCGGGAGGTGATACAAGACGTGTCTCGCCGCTTCGAATGCTACATTCACCTCGACACGATCCGCGAGCAGGAAGAGCGAACCCACCTTACTTCGCCAGTCCCAATCCGACCTCCTTATTCTATCCTTCCAATGACACCTTCTTTCAGCGTTGTCCAGCAGAAATCCGAAATGAGATTTATATAGACATACATGTTACACGGACATAACAGGCGCAGGAGCGGGCACCAGAATCCGAGCACTAAATTTGGGAGTCGTTCTCAATGTCCCACTGGTCACTGATCGACTTACTTCAGAATGGACCAAAATTTGCAAGCAAGAAGCGGAGTGGACGTTCAATGCAGAGACTGCCGGCGTAGTTCTCCCAAGCGGGAAGAGCGTCACCTGGACAAGCACCCCAGACCTCAAAGACGGCTCAATATGCTACCTTTCCACCGGCCTCGCAATCGACGCGTCCTCATTAAAGAATTCTCTATGCTGGAGATCGAATCAGTATAATCAAGTTGCCGTCAATACTACAAAAGCAGACTTGGAGGCAATCAAGGAGCTCTCTCAATGCTTAGCCAAGTTCACAAGCGTTTTACCGCAATTGAAGGACATCGTAGAACAAAGCCTGCCTGAGAGCAGCAGCGGGACACAGGTGGAATACTCAAGTAAAAACTCAACGGATCTTCGTCGTCAGATGCTTGAGTTTCTCGCCCCGCCTCTTCAGGCTATTGAGGCAAAGAGGCCAAGCGTACCGGGTAAGGCAAATTTCTATGGGCTCGCATACCTGCCCCGCTTATGAATGTACCAGGTAATGCAAATCGCTTTGGGTATGGCGCATGGATGGCCGAGAGTATGAATAGACCGTATTCACATCAATGATCAAAAAAGCACTACGATTTCCCTAGGATCGGGACGCAAAGGTATCAAAGAAATTAGACGCTGTCCTTGGAATTCCGCACATTCTTGTGCCTTGTGCCTACATGTCTCACTTCTTCACAACTCTTGACTCAATGTGACCGGATTAACGTCCAGGTACGTTTCGAAAGACCGTCACTCTCGACAATTAGTCGGGGCGGAGCGGTATGGTTAGCCTTTAAGCCTCTTGAAGACCTCAAGTACATGGCTTCATAGCAGATGTGTCCGAGTAATCCTTATATCATGATGACAAGATAGGACAGTTTGCTAATCAAGGGAGTAAGCAGTATTTTACGTCCTCTTGAGATTTTCAGCAACTTCCACAATCACTCATTCATGGCGCAGCGGTATGATTAGCTTGGTAAATGATTCTCTTTCGAAGCCTGGCCTTTCAGTTCGTGCTCAAAAATTAGTGAAACATGGCTCTTCAGGTCAGACGTGCTTTGAGGTCTGTGATGGTTTGTGGCACGTTCGCATCTCATCTCCTCTTTCAACGCGTCGGTCACTGCCCACAAATGCCATGCCATAATCGTGGTATCAAGTCTGCAGTTCTCAGGGTTTATGCCAGATCTAACCATCCCTGTCTATGCGACAGGCTGATCAAAGCGATTTGGGACCTCGGGCCGCACATCCATGACTGCCTTCAATAAGTCCTCGACGACTTTGGGCCCGATCTTCTGCCCGATCTGCTTGATTTCCTTCAGCTTCTCTTGCGTATCCTTCTCGGCTTCCTCCTCGGCCTTCTTGTTTCCTGAAGTGTGCTTGGCATGGGTCAGCTTACGTATTCTGATGGCAGTCGAATGTAGGCATGGTGTACCTTCGACTCGTATGCCTTGAACTCCTCTTCCTTCTTATTCCTGTATTCCTCGATCTCCTTTTGGGCTTCTGATCGGGCGTCCTTTACTCGCTTCGTGCGGTCTAGGTAAGATCAGTCTGGGTAGGGAGTTGAGGGCGGAATCCTAGGCTGCATACATTCTCTGGCTGTCATCACATTAGTATATATTCCATACCGCTCCTCTCGCTATCGCATACCTTTCTGTACAATCTTCTGCGCCTCCCGCTCTGCCTGTTCAACATATTAGATCCGCCATATTCGTAATCCTTGGAAGCTGCCTACATCGAGCAGTGTTTGGATGCCTGCTGAGTTCTGGGCGGCCTGCAAAAGCTGTCAGTGTGAAATCCAGCACTATGCGACCGCATTGCATACCATTGTGTCTAAGAGGAAGAGTAATGAGTGGCAGAGACAACAGGCTCAATGTTCGCAGACAAGCAAGCAACCTGAAGTCGTGGAAGCTGGTTGGAGCTCTGGGCGTTGACGTCGGCGACTTCCGCTTTGAGGAGATGTACCAAGGATTCCACACTTTCTTCCCTGCAACACCATTCGCAGTAATAATAATGTCTACTGCTGCGAAACTGACGCTTGCGGGCACCACATTAGGCGCCATTGGCATTGTGGTATTTGTGCATCGCCAGCAGAAGCTCGACCAAGCTGTAAGCTCGACAATGCGCCTAACATCCTCGGATGACCATTGATTTTCTATCTAGTTGATGCATGCGGGAGTCATACGCGACATGGAGCAACAACGTGTCAAGAAGGAGCGTCTGGCAGATTTCGAAATGCAGAGGCAATTGGAAGAGGAGTACAGGAAGCTGCAGAATGTGAGCGACGGCACCGAATTTCGGGGCAAGACGAAATGAAAGAGCAGTATCCAACGGAATTTTGCTTGACGATCTCGATCCGAACGAAAGCTCCGTATACAGGCCGCCCAATACTGCTCACACAAGTGGTGGCAGTGGCGCGTGCGCTTCCCCATGGCGCAGCAGATTCACCATCGAACCCTGGAGCCTCGATTGAATTCCATATCTCCGCCCCTATTGGGCTTCGTTGACATCTGTCGGCGACGCTCATAAAGCACTGAAGCCGACAAGACGTGTTCTCTAGACCGACTGCAGTTGGGAAGCACCTTAACGAGTCACGGGGCATTAGAGAGGCTTCCCAATACACCATTTTCCACCTCGCTGCTCCGCAAGGGTCGATTTGGGCCGGAGAAGCATGGATGAGATTGAAAAGCAGGCGGTGGAGTTATGTTTTTGCACGGCTGGGGTCGGCAGCCAGGCTCATCGAGTACAGCGAGCAAGCCTGGCGATTATACTTGCGAGAAGCGCAGCGTCCGCGTTGCATGCGATGGCTTAATGAGACATTAACGTGCGTTGTAGCTTCCCATACATCAGCCCTGCAAATTTACTACGAGACTACATACTGCCACAGCTGTCCCCGGCCGTGGTCACCATTCTCGATCCGTTTTGTCCACGCCAACGAGACTGGAATTCGAAGAGATGCGAAAATTTGTAAACGCCACAAGCACATCGGAAAGACGCGTGGCAGATTGTCGAACGCTCGGGCGATGGATGTTGTATTGGGTAAGATGCGACCTGCCATGAGATCTTTCTTGCCGCTGCTTTCACTTGGCTGTCCATTCGGCAATTCTTGATTGCCTCTACCGCATCCAATTCTTTGACTGGCGTGCGTCCGCGATCGATTTGACCAGGACCCGACTGCTTGGGGAAATTTTTCCTTCGAGAAAATTCGTGCCTATGATCGGGGATTCCCCAGCTTCTCCAAATCTCTAGCAGCACGACTTGGTCAGAGTATTCCAATTCCAGCGTCTCGTGCAATACCTCAAGCCAACCGATCCAGACCTTTCCTTCCACTCAACCCGAATCCTATCCCTCGCCACCAATCCCACTAATAAGCCGTAACAGGCGCAACAGAAGGTTTAAACTGCGTAACTCCTCCCTCCATCTCAAAATCACCCATCGCCTCCTCCCGCCTCTGTCGCCGTTCATCAACCTCTTTCATATCCGCCGCAACACCCTTCCGATAATGCCGAGGAAACCACCACCATATGAAAACGAACATGGCCACGCAAAGTGCTCCCAAGACGCCAACGGGTAGTGCCCATGTTGTAGTAGCAAGCATTTTTTTCGATCGATCTCATCTGTGAAATTTGGTTCAAGGATACTGCCAAAGGTTTTGCTTCGATGGGGGGGGGGGGGGGGGGGGGGGGGGAGTATTCGAAACCAAGCAAACTGCGAAGGAGAAGAAATGGATGCGACGCTGCTACAGTATCATGTGGAGTTGAATAATAATAGACCTCGTGCTCCCCAGCAGCACGCCGCAATCCTTCACACATGACGATGCGGCATTTCACTTCCGTGTCCCGCGCTTCTGTACCAGACAGGCGCGACACTGAAGCCTCCCGTCGCTGCAACAAAGAAAAAGCCGGGGTTGCAATGTTCCGTTCCCTCTGCTTTGTTTCGGGCGCGAAAGCGAGCTGTGAAAGTTGTACGATGGGTGCGAACGACTTATGCTTTCAAGAGCGGCGACTAGGGACAGTCAGGAAAGAGAAGAGTTCTTCGACGTGCACTTATGGATGTAGACAGAAATCAGCAGTTTATGTACCAAGCGCCTTCATCAAAGACCAACCACCTCCCTTATTGCCCCTAACCACGACTTTACAGTACTTGGCTCAATTCACATCCTTCTGCACGAACCCGAATCGCTTCCTTCCCTGATCAAAAATCGCATACATCGACTTCAAAACCGTTCCGCCGTAAATACTGAATTTCATCGTACCGCGAGACTGAATCCCTGTTCATAAGTCAGCACATACTCCAAATTGCCTCGTTCATCATCGTCAGAACTCACCACCATAGGTCATCCCATTCCCAACATCAGCGAAACTCAAATCATCTTTATCAATCGTACACAGCCCATCACCGATCGCGAATTGAATTGTTGGCAACTTCGCTTTCCCCAAATTGCTCGGGAAGATGAATCCACCTTGGCTGTCATCGTACTTGGATCCTGGAATTGCAGCATAGATGTTCTTGCAAGTCGTGTCGTCGATGAGTGAGAGAGTGGTTCCGGTGTCCATGATCGCGGTATTGCCAGCATTTGGGAACTTGTTGCCGTTCACGGTGGTCATGGCGGACTTGACTTGCCAAAATCCAAGGCTGTTGTCGATCTGAGTGTACGTGATTGGTTTACCTTTGCAGAGGTCTTGGTCGATGTACCCGAAGGTGTAGGATGGCGGGTCATTGTCCTGGGAAGGGAGTAAGTAAGTGGGATATGCATTTTCAGGCCGCGAAAGAGCTTACCTGATAGTTGGTCAAGTACGCAGTGAAGAGCTCAGAGTCGGATGGAATATTCGATTGCGTGATCATGTTCTCGACAGGTGTGTGAACAGGATTCGGCTTGACGGTATTGATGCTTCCGAATGCAAGACCGAGAAGACCATCACCTGCAGTCTCCTCAAAGGACCGTGCCAGCGTTGATGCAAGTTCGACAGCCTGATTCTGAACGTTCAAGCCGCCGATGTTGACGGTATCGGTGCCTACGATTCCACTGGCTGTCGAACCATCTCCGTACTGGATCTGCCATTTCGCGCCATCCATCTTCTTGAAAGAACTGCTCATCGCAGGATCGAAGATCGTATGTCCATTGTTCTTGCCTTTGGTCTGTGTCTTCGCAGGTAAGGACGTTGACCAGACCTACAGATCCGACGAACCAGTGTCGAAGCAAAGACTCATGGTTTGCGGCGCAGTGCCGATGCTGACTTGCGCAAGGTATTCTGAATCGTTCTGGATATCCTGCGCATCAACTTGTCCTACTCTTCCAGAGCTGTCTTTCTGTACCACCCGCGACACCGCGCGCGGGCCGCCGGTGCTCTGGGTCTGGGTCTGGGCATCGTCAGAGCTGTCTGCTCCATCAGTCTTCACTATCTGTGATTTGGCGTTGGCCAGGAAGGTTTGATTGAGCTTGGTCGCGTCGTCAACCAATGTCTGCACGAGCGTGAAAGGACATGGAAGAGTCGGCGTGAACTCGACTGTCGTAGAGTCAGTCAATGATCTGGGCTTGTAGATGTCGATTTCTGCGCTTACATTTGCGACAGAGATGCATTAGTGCTCCCACCGGTGTTGGCGCGTACTTGGGGTTTCGAATGCATTTCACTTTGGAAAGACCTTGAAGAGGAGCATTCGCATGAGCAGGAATCGCTGCTCGGACCACAGGCTCCTCCTTCTTTCCGAAATGTAGGTGGTGGTGTCCAGACGGCGCCATTGCTTGGTAGGTAGAAGGTAGGTTATGACGCTGCTGGTAGACTGTCTTGATATCTTCTAAGCCCACGGTGAACAATTCTCAGGGAGTAATGCTACGGAAATCGGATGTGAATGTATTGGGGACTGCTTAGAGGAATGGGACGGGAATGTAAGGTGTCAGAGCGTGGAAGGTCAGGAAGCGGTGACGGCTTGCCGCTTGCGAAGAAAGCTTCAGGTCCAGGCAAGTGCAACACGAGGAGAGCGATCTCTGGGGATGGGGCAGGAACGAGTATTCCAAGGCAGTCGCCAAGTGCAGTTCACGTCATCGGTTTCTTTGAGCTCGTAGCAATCCATGCAGATCAGATCAGGGCCAGCCTTTGCAGCGGCCACAGTATGCTAGGTTATATACAACCAAAACCACGTGTCAAGTTCGATGACTTGCTCTGTAACACAAACGCCAAAGATGCGATATGCCTGAGAAGCCGAACGGCGTGGTCTCAGCCCTCGTGTCGGCGTCCTTGCGCCGTCGCTATGCTCAAAAAGTACTCAAATCTCGTAGCAAGGTATATCTCGACAGCGAATCACTCGTGGAGATAGCTGCAGGCGTCGCCTTTCTGGCATTTGCCATCGTGCCAATAGCGGCAAACCTTGGTCTTGTAAAATCGGTTCTTGGGGTCATTGCCCTTCTTGTGTGCAGCGTCTGCTCCAGTCGGCTGCTGTGATGCACCATAATTGTAAGCGGGCTGCGCTTGCGGAGCGCCATTTTGAATCTGAGCGAGGATAGCAGCCAGATCAAGCTGACCGGCAGGCACAGTTGAGGTCTGAGGTGGTGGCGGTGGGGGAGGCTGGAAGTTAGCCGGCGCAGGCCCACCGACGAATGGCAGAGAATATGCAGTAGCACCAGGCTGATGGGCGTTTGAATTGAGGTTTCGCAGGGTGTCAAGGATAGATTGCACTTGAGACCCAGACTGCTGTGGTCCTGCCCCAGCGAACGGGAACGCAGGAGATGCCGTGGTCTGAGACTGACCATAGATAGGCTGTGACTGAAACTGCGCTTGTCGTGACCTGGCACGTGCACTATACTTTTCCTCCATAGGGCCGAAGTACTTCAATGCAGGACCTGGATCGCCATTGTACGGATCCTCGGGCTCCTTCGGGTTGGCCGGTATCTGGCTTGGCTCCGTATAGAATACCATCAGAGTCTCATTCTCGTACTGCTCGCGCTTCGACTTCTCGGCTGAGTTGGGCTTGAACTCTCCACCACCATATGGAGTGAAGTTGCGACTACGCTCCTCTTCAGGGACCGTGCTGAAGTCCACCGGGATGGGTGTCCGGAACTCTACCAGTTTCTGCTCTTCTTCCGAGGGTTCATCATCTTCGTCAAGATCCATCATGTGTTGCTGTTGCTTGAACATGCGACCCTCTCCTCCAACGTCGGCAACATCGCGCATCTGACTGGAGTCATGGTCGATCTCCTCTTCAGGATCGTGAACGAAGAATCTGACTTCCACCAGCTGGTCTACAGGCTTGAACGAGACACGTAGTTTACGTCGTTGTTCCTTTCGAAGACGTTTCGCACGCTCCTCTTCGGTCTCAGGTGGGATCTCTTTCTCAGGCTTGGCCTCTTTCTTAACCTCCTTTGGCTTGGTTAGATTTGCCATCGTCTGCGCAAAGTCGAAAGCAGGCTTGGCGGAGGCGGTGTTGGTCACTGTCGTTGGCCTGCTTGTTACTGGCTTCGCCGCTCGTTCAGCATTTGATGTACCGGGTTTCTTGGTCGCAGATTGCAGACCGGAGAAGAAACCCGACGGTTTAGCTACCACAGTCTTCCGTGTTGCAGCTTGGGCACTGCCCGCTGCTGCTGATTTGGTAGAATCTGTGGCAGTAGGCGCTTTCTTGATGGCACCAGCTACACCATTGGCCTTTGAAGCCACGGTTGCGACCTTCTTCTGAGCGGTCCCTTCGGCAGACGACGCGGCAGGGCGCTTCACCCCGGCACCCGAATCGGGCACAGGCTTCTTCACGGAAGGGGATCCAGTCCTGGAATCAGCAGTCTCAGATGCTAACTTCTCCGCCTTCTTCTGCTCTGCCTTCTTAGCAGACTCTTTGGTGGCAGTCTCCGCGTTGGCCAGGATCTTATTAACGTAGTACTTGGTCTTGGCATCGCCTTTCTTCTGATATCGGGGCAACACCTTCTCCATGTGTGTCTTCTCCAGTTTGTCCTTTGTGAGTGTCGTGAATTGGGACATCAATTCGAGGATCGCCCGTGAAAGACTTCCGTTGATGTCCTCATCCTTGAAGCGGTCGAGTAGGAATTGATAGCAGATGAATATGAGCGAGACGTTCTCGGAAAGGCTACAAACGGCTTGTTGTTAGTGTGTGTCTACTTTAAAGGCGTTGTCACTAGATCTAAATGCATGTCTCGGAGGAAGATGGAACAACAAGGCAGCAGCATTCGTGTCGAAAAGTTTGGCTTGCTGAGTCGGATTCCCAACTTTCCATTAGCAATGCGGCTTGGGCATCGCCACGTCACGGAGGACCTCAGCTTGCGCATCGCCCTTTGACGCAGCGGACCATGCTGCTACGAAGTGGACAATGGGCAGTCATCTAGCCTTCACGGCCGGCTGCTGTGTATCTCGCTGCGCCGCTGCAAGGGCCTACAACATTTCACAAATCACATTGGGGAATAGGGGGGAGGTACTCACAATGCAATGACATCGCGGTGACCATGCTTCAGCACAGCCTTGAATGCCGTCTCCATCATCTCGCGCTGATCCTTGACTCTGCTCTTCAGCAAGGGTAGCTCTCCGGCTTTCTTCTTCGTTTCGGCATCATTGACTGCAGCTGCGTCTGCTTTCCACCGATCTCTGATCGTCTTCACCACTTCCCAAAGCTCGCCAAGACAGGCGCCGATGGTAGCCGCATCTAGCGATTTCTTCTTCGATCGGTACACTGCTTTGATCACATCGTACTCGACGCCACCTTTCGGATCATCAGGCTTCTTGGCAGGCAAGGGCGAGTCCTCATCTTCGTCGTCCGTGTATTCCGAATCGTCGTCTGATGATGAAGAATATTCGCTCGAAGAGTCTGCATCATGCTTGATCGATGGACTTCCAACCGAGCCCGTGGGCGGGCGGGACTTCAGATCAGCGGCGAGAGTCTTTGACTTCTTGCCGATCTTCGCAAGGGCGGTCTTGTTGTTTCCAGCCAGGGCGCGCAGCTCGTTCCGTGACTTTCTGGGCACATACGCTGGGATTGCACTTCGTGTCACGTCCCATTCCTGTGCCTCCTTGCCGACGTTCGCATAGCTGCCCATGCGCTCCGAGTTTGTGGTTTGGGACAGCTGATTGAAGTCGATGATATTGAACATGCCACCGCTGACTGCTTTCGGTATTGATGCAACGAGAGCTTTCTGATCAGCCCGACGCATCTGGATCTGGGCGGCTTGCCGGTTCTGGTTGAAGTTGTTTGGCGGGAACGCATTGGCGGCGTATGGGTTGTTGGTGAATGTTCGGGTGGGATCCAGATTCTGGGGTGCAATGGTACCAGGACTCTGTGTGGCAGCGGTGTAGCCTGGCATGTGGAGGTTGAAGTTCTGTCCATGTGCGGCCAGTGAAGGATCGAACTGTGGTTGCCGGTACTGGAAAGGCTGCTGCTGAGGCTGTTGGCCATTGTAGGTGAAGGTGTTTGGTGCAAACGACGCCGGACTGTTGCTCATGGGCCGAGCATAGGGCGAGGCGTTGAAGCCTTGCTGCACAGATTGGGCGGCGAGATGGTTCGCATTCTGTGCCCAGCTTGGCGCAGACTGGGGAGCACGTGACTGGCTGGCTTGGCTGAAGTCGCTGGCGTTTACGGCCCAGCTAGCATCGGGGTTGAAATTGGAATCGGAGCCACTCTGATACAGGTTCAGGTTGTCATATGCATTGAAATTCTGATTATCCGCGAACAGATTGTTTTGGAAGCCATTCTGATCCATGATGATGATGATGATTGACCGATGTGCACCGACGTCTCAAAACAGAAATGTGGCCCGTGCGTGCGTCAAGGCCCAATCCGGAAGACAGCGTCAAAGAAGTGCCGTGGCCTGTCTGGCTGTCTCGTATCGATAGGCACTGCGCGCCCCAAGAGCAGGCGATGCGCAGTGCCGCTATCTGATGCTGAGCGTGTGTCGCAGACTCTGCTGCTGGTGGGTGTCGGGAGTGCTGGCCGGTGTCTTGGTTGACAGGTACAAATGTCAGCGGCGGTGAGCCAGGACTGTGCCCGCGCCTGGGAGGCCAATCGCTCCCACTTCAGGAGCAGTGCAGTGCCTGGGTGGTGCTGGCTGGCTGCTGCTGAGAGCACGCACGACACGACGACTTAAGTGTCGGTGTCGGCCGCAAGAAATGTGCAGAACGGCAGTATACGCACGCAGCCCTTCAAGCACGGCGCAGGCGTGGAATGCAGCAAAAACGCGGCCAAGCGGCGTGTGCTGGTCAGAGACTCTCTCAAAGTGAGCGAGCGTCACGCTGTGGGCTGTGTCGCAATTTGCCCGCGCGCGAGAGAATAGATGCAGACCGCCTTTGCCACGGCTGAGAATACCACAAAAAACGCTTCAAGCCCTTGTCAATCTCTCATCACGTACTCATCAACGGAAGAAAAGCGGTCTAAAGAGTGTGAGGGTGCAGCTGTCTGGTGTTGTTTGTGCGGAGTGGGAGGTGTTGTTGGAGGCAAAGAGAAAGAGAGTGGCGGCCCCGGCGGCTTTGAAGGTCGCCGTGCAGCTGAGCATGGACCACTGTCTTTCTCGCTTGTTGCCGCTGATTAAGCGGCAGGCACTCGCAAGCTGGCAAGAGCATGATGTTGGAGCAACGAGGCAAGACCGACCGAATCACATGCGGGCCCATGAGCACATAGTGAAGGATACCTTACGTAGACCACGCGCCCGCGACCGAGCGAGGACAGGCAGCACAGCAAGGACGTCTCAACAGCCGCTCACTGATGCGCTGAGATCTGAAAAAGGCTGGCACGCAGCCACACGCTACAATGACCACCAACCAGTCCCTTCGCGACCGCCAAGTAGGTGTGTAGTGATTCATTTCACTCCGTGTCGTGTATGCATCGCTGAACTGATTATGTGCTAGCCTCAATCCAACGTATACTGAACCTCAATCAACCCGCTCCCGACTCCGATGATTCTGCCTTGGACGGCGCTGCATCCAATGGCCTCATATCCAAGTCGACTCCTATTCTGAATGCCGACGGAGAGCCAATATGGAAAGTCCTAGTGTTCGACAAGCTGGGACAGGATGTGATTAGCAGCGTTTTAAGAGTGAACGACTTGCGGAGTTGGGGCGTCACGATACATCTGTATGTGCAATTGGTTCTTGAGACCGCGCACCACATTCAGTGCTGAGAGCCGCGCAGCAATGGCTGACAGCACCACGTCAGAAATATCACCCGCCAGCGACATGCGATTCCCGACGTACCTGTTGTCTACCTTGTCGAGCCTACTGCAGACAATCTCCAGCGCATCACACAAGATTTGCAGAACGGCCTCTACTCACCCGCATATGTCAACTTCCTCTCCTCCATACCACGACCTCTACTGGAGGACTTTGCAACGCAGACAGCAGAAGCTGGTACCTCGGAAAGTATCAGCCAGGTCTATGATCAATACTTGAACTTCATTGTCAGCGAGCCGAACCTGTTCAGTTTAGGCATGGGCAAAGAGACGTATTGGACTATGAATAGTGCACAAACGAGTGACGAGGAGATTGACAACAATGTGGATCGAATAGTCAGTGGGCTGTTCAGTGTGGCTGTGACCATGGGTGAGTGCTTCGGGTCGCTTCATACCGGAATCATGCTCATTTCTGGCAGGAACGATTCCGATCATCAGGTGTCCCAAAGGTGGCGCCGCTGAAATGATTGCGGCGAAGCTAGATCGCAAGCTTAGAGACCACATTCTCAACGCGAAGGACAACCTCTTCTCCGCGAAGTCGGCGGCAACAGGGGCGACATCTTCCAGGCCAGTTCTCATCATCGTGGATCGCAACGTTGACCTTGTCCCTATGCTTTCGCATTCGTGGACGTACCAATCACTGATTCACGACGTGCTGAACATGCATTTGAATCGTATTACGGTGGAAACGCCTGTCGATGAGAATGATGCAACCAAAGGCAATGCGAAGAAGTCCTATGACCTGACCTCGAACGACTTCTTCTGGAACAAGAATGCCGGGATGCCGTTCCCACAAGTAGCGGAAGACATTGATGCCGAGCTCACTCGGTATAGAGACGACGCCGCAGAGGTCACAAAGAAGACCGGTGCGGGTTCGATCGAGGAGCTTCAAAATCCCGAAACGAGTGCTTCTGCTCAACATCTTAAGGCCGCCATAACACTCCTGCCTGAGTTGCGAGAGCGGAAAGCATTACTCGACATGCATATGAACATTGCCACGGCCCTGCTAAAGGGCATCAAGGATCGACAGCTCGACAACTTCTACCAGCTGGAAGAAGATATTAAAAAGCAGACGAAGGTGCAGATGTTGGAGCTATTGAATGGCTCCGACAAAGGTAATCAACCGCTTGACAAGCTTCGCATATTTATCATTTGGTTTCTCAGCACCGAAGTCGAGCTGTCCAGAGCAGACATGGAGCAATTTGAAGAAGCCCTCAAGAAGAACAACGTGGACATTATGCCTCTGGCTTACATCCGCCGCGTGCGAGAGATCACACGAATTACGATGATATCATCAGCGCCGACACAGCAACCGCAGCAATCATCCGCTTCGAACGACCTCTTTCGCGGATTCAGCTCCATCTCTTCGAGGCTCACAGATAGGTTCAAAGATGCGGGTCTCGGAGCGAATTTTGATAACCTGATATCCGGAGTGAAAAACTTCTTGCCAGCAAACAAGGACCTCACCCTCACCAAGATCACAGAAAGTCTGATGGACCCACAGAACGCGTCGACCAGTGCTCTACAGAAGACGGAGGGATTCTTGTACTTTGATCCTCGCTCCGCAAATGCTCGCGGTACTATGCCACCAAGCGCAAAGGATGCGCGATCAGGCACGCAGGAAAAACGTGGCATTGACCCGTCATTCGGGCAACGGAGACAGGGATTCAGCGAGGCCATTGTGTTCACAGTAGGCGGAGGCAGCATGGATGAGTATGGCAACCTGCAAGACTGGGCCAAGAGATCCACGGGGACGAGTGGTGCAGTCAGCAGGAAGAGAGTGGTGTATGGCTCTGACGAGCTTGTCAATGCCACTATCTTCCTCGACGAGCTCACCAAGCTGGGTAAAGAGAGTGTTTGATAGATCATAATCGCAATCTTCGCCGCGTGGAGTCCATGCTGTCTATTTCAGAGTGTTTTGCCATGTTCACTCTTCACAATTCTCGTACATATTCAATGCTCGGGTATGTCCACCCGACCGCGATCGTTGTTGGCCGGTCTTTTTCGTGCCGATCGACTGGGTGAGCAGCGAGCGGTCCTGTCTCCGCTGGCTTCCTTGCCCTGCTTACCGAAATCCTTGGCGGGCGGACCAGGGCAGAGAATCCAGAACCCGACCCAGTTCAACTTCCCTCTGCTCTGCAGCCTAACACCTGTCGCTGCTCTCGGAGCGCACGCCCATCACATATTCTTTTATCCACAGGAATATCGCGGCGCATCTGAGATGACCGACACGTGGTATCTCAGGTCGCGCTCTCCATCCTAACAATTTCTTGCCACCCCAACGGGGACCAGATACCTTTGCGACATCCGGTCTCTGTCCGCCTGGCCTCGACTATCCTCACTCCAGCCATTCCTTTCGCTTTGCAGCACACCTAAATTATTTCTAAACAATGGCGGCGGGACGTTCCTTCATTGCCAGCCGCCGGCGACGCGCTGATGAGGAGGGTGAAGATGAGGTGGGTCCTGTCTTGGTTGAAGATTCGCAGAGTGAAGGCTCGGTCTTGAGCGAACTGGACGACGACGAGATTGATGCAAGCAGTCTGGGTGACCCGAGCGCAGGGGAAGGCGCTACTGTTGGGGAGGTGGAGACAGGCACGAATGGAGCTTCTACTGCTGTCAAGAAGGCGCGCAAGAATAGGACCAACAAGGGCAAGAGACGGCAAGACAATCCATCGGCGCCACCAGTAGTAGTGTCGTCGCAGGCGCAGGCGCAACCCGGCAGCTTCAAGGCTGCAGGCGACACGGAGGCAATGATGAACGGGCTCAGTATTCAGGACCAGCCAGACGAAGAAGTCGTGGACTTTGAGAACATGGGCCCGAATGGGTCATCCGCTCCTGCGCCAACCATCCAACCGGCGCCGCTCGAACGAAAAGTCGATTCTCCTGCGCTGCGCCAAAGGCGAGACCACGAAGAGTACAAGAAAAAGCGGGATGCCGATCCAGCTTTCATTCCCAACCGCGGCAACTTCTTCATGCACGACACTCGCAACCACCATGGAGCTGGACAGCCGCCAATGAGAGGTGCGTGGAATACCAGAGGTCGCGGAAGAGGCGGACCCAACGTCGCAGGTCCATTTGCGCCAGCTACACATGCGGCGCATTCTGAGAAAGCGGCAGAGCTGCCATGGAAGCACGACTTGCACGATACGATCAACGAAGAGCCAGCAACAGGGAAGGCTTCCGACGTGACCTCAGACCAGATCGAATCTGCGCGGCTATTTCCCAAGCCTGCTCCCACGGCTCAACAGAATCAGCATGTCCCACCGACTAAGATCTCGTTCTCGAGCACTACACATGCTGGTAAGGTCCTCATTCGTGTTTACTTGCCGGGCATGAAGTCGCCTGTGTCCTTCTCGGAAGTGCTTTGGAAGCATTACACTCGCTTGCCGGATCACCGACCACCGCTCCGGAGAGACAAGCCAGTGCGGGTCTCGCTGCCTGGCCACGTGCAGCGATACATCTTCCCATCTCCTGAACGGTCTTTCATCTTCATTCCTCGCCAAATGCGACCCAATCAGCATGGCTTTGGACCAAATAGATACCAAAGGAGTATCGGCGGCTATGGCTATTCGAGTCGCAGGACCAGCATGTATGGCGGTAGCATATACGCTGCTTCTGTTGCGGCTAGTCGGCGGTCTTCTTTTGCCAGCGTCGCTCGTGAGAATGCATTCTCTCCTGTCGGATCCTTCGCTGGTGCCATGCAACAGTCACGTCCAGTGGTCAGGCTGCCGCACGGCTCACAGTCGCACTTCTCTCCAGCAGCCAGTACTCCGTTGGGCCCGCTCTCTGGCCATCAAACACCGACAGGCATGGGCATGCACTCGTATCCCCTGCCGGCGCAGCCGCAATATCAAGGCACACCTACGACCACTGTGCACCAACCAAAACCTCAAAAGGCCATATCTGTCACCGGGATCGAGTCTCCTGCCATGCTGCAGCAAGCTGTTCCGCCACAAGAGTCGCAGCCTTTCGCCAATCAGCTGCCTGCGCACATCAACGATCAGCCACCGTTTCAGCCCATGGGGGCTTACTTTTCTCCTCGCTCGTCTTTCTCCTACCCTCATCCGCAAGGCGGCACGCCACTGTCGGGTATTCCAGAACAAACTATGCAAGCTCCTAGCTTCCAGCCTCCAGTGATGCCTTACCCTGCTGGGCCGTACTATGCTCCATATTCGCAACAGCAGAACTACTACTATCCTTCTGGGCCTGGAGCATACCCGCCAATGCCAATGTACGCGCCCCCGCCCCAGAACTACATGATCTCGCCACCAGGACAGCACATGGCACCACCTCAGCAGCAAGCTACAACTCAACAACAGGCTCCCCAACCTGCGTCATCCGAACCTCAGCAGGAGACAAGTCAACCACAGTCTGGCATGGTCGCGCACGAGAGCAATGGAATGGTCTTCTACATGCCCGCATCCGAGGCTCAACAACAAAACCAGGGTGAGAACTACCAACCGGCTGAGAGCTTTGTCCCGTCTTACGCCATGCCTGGTCTACCGCCGCCGACACCTGCGCCGGAAGCGCCATTTTTCTATCCTCAGCAAATGCCAATGGCGGGTTACTATTCCGGACAAGGCGCGCAACAATAGTGACGATCTGCCTGCATTTCTCAACACCCGGAAACCTATCACCAATGTTACAGCGGCGATCTTCTCCTTGTGTACCTGCTTTTACTGCCTCTTGCTTATTGATGTTCTGCTGCTTTTGCTGCCTCGACGGCGCTGATTGGGAATACTAGCAAGCATGGCGTTTCCGTGAACAGGAGTTCTTTTTGATTGATGGAAAAGAGGGGAGGGCTATCTGCAGGATTGGACATGGGTGACATCCCTATGGGACTCGGTAGCGAAGCCTTATTATTGCGACACTTGTGTCATTGTGTATGCTCAGCGGTAGTAACGGTGAGGCGCTGGAGGAAAGGCGATGATGGCGTATTATCATTATCTTGATATTGATCGTAGATATCATTTCTCGTTGCCTTCGATGAGCATCACTTCCCTCCTTGCTCGTCCGAGACAAGTAGCACGTGCTGATTCACATTGCTTGTTGAGGAGCATCGGAGAGTGAGAAGCATGACGGAGATGGCAATTCGGAGAGTGAAGCAATGAAGTCAGCATTGACCTTCTCGCAAGGCTGCACCGGTGTACGCATGCCACATGTCTTCGCCGACTTACCAATCCGCATCGACATAGCTGGAAGGCTGTAGCACATGCTTGGCAGCTGCCGGTGAAGGCGAATGTGATCACGAGCTTGAGCTAGCGGTCTGTGCGTCTAGACGGAGAGCTTCGTGCAGGCTGGCGCCTGTTCCAGCTATTACCTTGCCTTGCATCTCCTCACCTCGTCCGTCCCTTTCAACCACACCACACCATCACTCGCCAACACCGCCCATCAATCCATACCGTATCGCCAGGAGCTGGGTCTCCTTTGTGTACATCTACCTTTTGGCACCTCGCCGTCGTTGCAACGTGAGCTGAGCCGCCCTCGCACCCCCAAAGCCGCCGTCGTCATCAGCTCGCCCGCCGGTCAGGCAATACCGTCACCTATCGCTGCGCTGCACTGCCCAGTATGGCGACCAACAGCAGCGCCGTATCGCAGGATACACTCATCACCATCAAAATCAGCGTCAATGAGCAGCTCAAGAAGCTCAAGCTGCCACTGCGAGAGGTGAACATCGCCTCGCTGACCCCACGTGTAAGTCGGCCTCGGCGTGCTGATGCTGATCGGCAGAGCAAGCAAGTGCTTCAGCAAACAAAGCCAAGCCGCACCGCAGCACAGCATAGTACAATCACAAAATCACGTGCTAATACTCTTCCAACAGCTCCGCCAGGTCCTCGATATCAAGCCGGGGCAGACGGTCGTGATCGAGCGCTACTCCGACTCAGCCGGCGGCTACATCACCCTCGATGAGAAGAATCCGCAGGTCTTCAAGGCGCTCGTCCGTGCAGCCAAAGCCAAGGGCAAGCTGCGTCTGAGGGTGACCGTCACCCCAACCAACGTTCCGCAAGAGAAGGAGGCGCCAGTCGACGCCAAGAAGGTCGCTGTCAAGCCTATGGAGCCCATCATTGTGCGTAGCACTGCTCCTATGAGCGCCGCCCTCGCAGAGGAGAAGCCTCGCATACAGTCTGCTCAGGCTCAGCCACGGGATCCGATCTCGTTGGACCAGCGCAACATTGGCAGTGGCATCTTCCAGTTCCGCGAGGCCCGTGCTAGCCAACAGACACTGATTGACGACGCCCCTGTACCGCACCCATTCTCGGTCGACCGCACCGCTTTCTTCGAGAACCTCGCAGCTCCAGCGGCTAGATCAATGCTGCCAGTCCGACCCCGTGAGCCTCGCGAGAAGGATGAGTTGGTGGTTGAGATGAAGCACGAGTGGGCCATCTTCTGCAATGAGTGCAGCAAGGCTCTACCAGACTCCCACTACCACTGCGACATCTGCGACGGTGCAGACTATGATCTGTGCGAGCAGTGTGTCGCTGAGGGCAAGCTGTGCCCGGGTGATGGTCACTGGCTCATCAAGCGATTCCTCAAGGATGGCCAGTTCATCACAAGCACGACCGAGCGCGTCTCACCACGCAAGTTTCACCAGGCTTCTCTCATACTCCAGTCTGAGCCCGAGATTGAAGAGAAGATGCCAGGTGCTCTCTCTGAGGAGACCAAGACTCTCGACCTTGAGCCAATGTCCCCTACACGCACTTGCAATAACTGCGTAATTGTCCTGCCAGAGCGAGAGTTCGTCCACTGCACGTCGTGCGAAGACTTCGACCTGTGCATCAAGTGCCACATGGCCGACAAGCACGGTCATCATCCAGCTCATGGCTTCGAGCTCGCGACGAACGACACTGTCCTTCCTCTTGCTGCCGAGACCAAGCTGGCCCCAGGCCGCAACGTGCGTCACAACGCCATCTGCGACGGTTGTGACAAGAAGATCCATGGAGTGCGCCATAAGTGCCTGAACTGCCCAGACTGGGACTACTGCAACGACTGCATCAAGGATGCTAGGCACACTCACCCACGCCACCGCTTTGCTCCTCTCTACACTCCTATCGCCGACCAGGGCGGCTCCATGGTCCGCCACTTTGGCATTTATTGCGATGGCCCACTTTGCAGCCAGAAAGCTCACGCTTCCTATATTCAAGGCGTGCGCTACAAGTGTACTATCTGTCACGACACAGATTTCTGTGCAAATTGCGAGGCATTGCCGGGCAACCATCACAATCGCACTCACCCGCTGCTCAAGCTCAAGACACCTGTTCGTAATGTGAATGTCTCAACCGAGAACGAGGACCTTAATGGCAATGTCCGTGTCACGGGAGATCGTCACGCTGAGCCGGCTGCAGCAACTCAGGTTGTCCCGATCCCAGTCAATGCTGCCACTCCGGTGCAGACCGTTGCTGAGATCAAGCCCACTGAGGTCAAGAAGGAGTCTCTTCCAATGCAGATTCCCGTCAAGAAATTCGAGACATTCCCGAATGCCCCACAGCCACAGACATTCAAGCTTGCCCCAGAGGTGCCAATGTCTCTGCTCAACGCTCACTTCGTGCGGGATAGCATCCCAGACGGCATGGCTGTCGAGCCGGAGACTCAAATCACGCAGATCTGGACTCTCAAGAACCCAGGTCCTTACACTTGGCCAGCCGGCTGCAGTGTCCGCTACGTCGGTGGCGATAACATGCTCAACGTCGACAACAGCCACCCAGCATCTGTTGCTGCCATCAACGAGGCAGCCGAGAGCAACGTTGTTGGTCGTGAGGTATCAGTTGGCGAGGAGGTTGCCTTCAAGGTTGTGCTCAAGGCTCCTATTCGAGAGGGCAAGGCCATCAGCTACTGGCGACTAAAGGCCGCAGATGGCACTCCGTTCGGTCATCGCCTGTGGTGCGATATCGAGGTCAAGAAGGTCAACCAGAAGGTTGTCAAGGCTGCCGAGGTGCCTGCTCCAGTCGTAATGGCATCGCCACCTATGTCGGCCAAAGTGACGACCAGTCCTGTCAACCCACCACTGCCAAGCTATCGCCAACCGCCATCTGAGCAGCCACCAGCCTACGAGAGTATGAATCTCACCTCGCGCTTGGCTGCCATGCGCGAGCAGCAGAAGCAGCGCCGTGAGCAGATGATCGCCCAGCTTAATGCTCAGCGTGAGCAGCTCAACGCCCACCGTGAGAGCTGGGCACAGAACACGAACGCTTCTCCTGCAAGCAACAAGACTGTCGAGAGCACGAGCGAGAAGGAGCGCCGCGATATCCTGCGTCAGCGTGTTGCTCATATCAAAGCCAACATTGTCAAGACTCGCGAGGAGCGCGAGAAGCTTGCACAAGACCTCAGCAAGCAGAAGGCTGCTGCAGCAGAGAAGAAGGCCGATGAGGCATACGAGAAGATGAAGAACATCATCGAGCAGGTGGCCAAGCAAGCCAGCGACGAGGAAGAAAACGATGCGGAGGAGTCTCTTGAAGGCAGCCAAATGGTCTTCCCAAAGCTTGAGAAGGAGAGTCCAGCCAGCAGCACCTACCAGTCAGCTACTAGCAGCTCCAGCAAGGGCAAGGCCGCATATGTCGAGAATGAAGATGGCGAGGTGGAGCGCTCGGCACGACCGTCTCCTGCTCAAGCACCATCCACAGTGGCATCCCCTGCCATCGAGCACGATGACTTCGTCGACCTCGACGATGAGTTGGAGGTGCTTAGCGCTGCTGATGACAGCGAAGACGACGGTTTCCTCACTGATGAGGAGTACGATATCCTCGACGCATCCGACCACGAGACCGTTGCCTCGAAGTACTAGGTGCACTGAGGGGGAAAGGGGCCATCCTACGATTTGAAAAAAAAGACTGGAAAGCGCGCCACAAAGCAACAACAAGCACTATGAATGACGACATAACACTCCCTTTGAGACCTGAGGGACTTTGCTGAATGTGTAATTCCAAGGAGGAACTGATACTTCGAGGTCGGCTTTGGATACTGGCGAAGGAAAGGCGTAGTAGGTTTTCGGTTGATTGCTGGCTGTGATTATAGTATCGATGGCTTTCTTCCCTATCTGAACAGTGCTTCGCCGGTGTTCTTGAATTGGAACGTGATGACTTTCATAAGATCGTTGTTGCTTTCCATTCGTTTGTTGTTGGCAGTACGCCTCCAGCATCTGCCGAGGGATTGTTACAGCCCACCGCCAAGGTAGTACTATGTCGAATTTTCGTGAAATAGTCAAGTTGATGCGCTCTACCTACGCGTGGGCTCAATATGACGACCTCGGAATCTCGAGGAAGCGCTGCAGCGTGGTGTTGGGGAATGTAGAAAGACAAGAACTGGGAACGTTGGCAATAATGAAAACCACAATATGCCACAAGAATCAGGCATAAATCTTCTTCGCTTCCTCCGGGCGACATGAGACACACAGCACGGTGCCTCTTCCTCGTTATCTGAGATCTCCTCGCGACCGTGAAATGATGTCCGTATGAACCTTGGCCAATACGAAGTCGAGCTGAGGTCACGACACGACCTTCCTCCTTCCTCTTTCTAAGATCCGCATGAATCTTAGCCAATACGAAGTTGAGCTTCACGACCTTCCTCTTTCTGAGTGATGTCTGCTCCGACTCCTTCCTTTAATTGCGTGCAGCGTGCAACGAGCAGCCAGTGGTGAAAGATAGGCTGTACGCGTTTTGATGGCAGAATCTGAATCTCATTATACCGTATGTTTTCTCGCTAGCGTAGAAGCCGATGAACTGATAAGAGGACGCAAAATAATTCTATAGATATTTTATATCACGCACAGCGCAGTGGATTACTTACGTAATACTGCCTTGCCAGCTGTTCAATATGGCTTCCTTGATTGCCTATGTTCTGCTTATTCTATAGTCTAAAATATAGTGTGAACATCCTTCTCCTGCTAAGAGGACACGTGTTGTTATGTAACCGAGCTTATACGTTATACACCCCCTTAGCTTATGCAAAAGGGGTTTACCTTCCGTTTTAGGCAAGGTGGTTAATGCTTCTTTATATACGAATAAAAGAAAAATTAATCCTTTCGACTTCTTATATAGTACTTTATTAAAACACTAAAAAAATGGTTTGAATCTATACTATATATAAGAGAGTCTTATTTTATACCCCGATTACCCTAGAAGGATATCGTTATATAATCCGGACTGCGTATGCACCTTCACATATAGCCCCTATTACTAGGAACTGTTGTCTTCCTACGTAGTCTAAGCACAGACCGACACTATTAAGCCTAATCTAAGTACTCGTATCGTATAGTAAAGTTAGTTCAATTTGAACTGAGCCCTTTATACTATTACTATCGGTTATTAGATCAATCGTATAGGTAGCGTCTATTTAATTAGACGGAAGGATTAAGTAAGGTATATATTAGTTAAACAGATTTAATGAATTAGGATAGGTAACTTGAACTAAGGACGCTACCCTTAGCTAAGACTACTGCACTATTATTACTAGCACTAATACAATCGCCGCAGACTTATTATTAGTTAATGGAAGTAACGTTCGAAGTAATAATATAGGCGATAGTAATACACCCCGCAAAGTAAGGTTTCCTATGCTATTTGTTTAGTCTATATTAGAAGGTAAGGTTGAATCCTTATTCTAATTAGTTATCGTTATCGTGTTAGATACTTTTGCTAGCGCTAATCGATGAAGGTGTGTTTAATCGACTTAGTTACAATTAGTAGCGAATAGGGGGGGCACTACTACCTATTATATAGAGTTGTCTTTATATTGCTAAAGAGGAAGAGGTTGTTAGAGGAAGAGTTGCCTCCTTATATACCTCATTTCGGCTCTGCTTCACTTTGTAGTCTATCAGTTAGTAGCCTTAATAGCCTAAGTTACTATATAAACCTCTGTTAGTTCTATAGTCTATAGAGTTTGGTAAGTCTATCGGCTGGCATATCCTATATTGCGAGGTATTTACATTAAATCCTTCTAGCCTTATGTTCTTGCCTTAGCTAGCACTAGTGAATATCTATATAGCGGAGCTTCGTATCTAGTTTGCTAGCATTAGCCTTAATAATGCGGATGGTCTGTATATTGTTATAGTATAGCACAGGAACGCTATCTAAAGTGAGGCTAATGTTATTAAAGAAACGTTTCTACTAGATTAGTTCTAAGCCTGCATATAAGGCGGCTAGCAACTCGGCCTTAGTTATAGACTTAGTAATAGTAGACTATCGTACTGCTTTCCAATCGACTAGTCTATTGAACAGGCTAAATAGCTATCCTTCTAATAACTGTCTAGTGCCTTTGTAGTCTCTATAGGAGGCGTTAGAAGCCCCGTAGAATTCATAAAGTTATTGGCTTAAATAAGCAGTAATCGCTAGTCTATTGAACAGGCTAAATAGCTATCCTTCTAATAACTGTCTAGTGCCTTTGTAGTCTCTATAGGAGGCGTTAGAAGCCCCGTAGAATTCATAAAGTTATTGGCTTAAATAAGCAGTAATCGCTAGTCTATTAGCGTTATACTCTAAGCATAGGTGCTTTATCTGTAGAAGGTACTTAATACACTAATTAGCTGCTGCTATATCCTCAGGTCGTGGGTTCTAAAGAGCCTTAGATAGCAAGGACACTGCCTTAGTAATGTCTAGCCGGGTTTAAACCGCTACAAAGTTGAGTGAACCTACCCGGCTTTAGTATGCTAATACTACTAATAGGTCTATGTAACGAGCTTCTTCTTTCTCGTATAGTTCGTATCTAGTCGGCAATAGTGCCTTAGCCCTTCGTCTAGTGTCGGTACTAATAGTATAACGCTGACCCATTTTTTTAGTATATGTCTTCTATAACAACTAGAGTTGCTTAGTAGCGCGGTCTCGAATAACTTCAATCCTAAGGAACTAAGAGAGCTTGCCTAGGTCATTAAGCTTATATTCCTTTATTAGCTTCTGCTTAAGGTCCATTGCCTTTTACTTATATTAACGATAATATAGTAGCACTATGTCGTCTATATAGAAGAAGATGAATACCTGCTTATCCGGGTCGGTGTATAGGTAGTCTACATTGTCTACTAGTTGCATACCGAGCTTGTTTTTAAGGGTGGTAGTAAAGTAATTGTACTATAACCTTAGTAACTCCTAAAGGCTATATAGTGCCTATAGCAACTGCAATACCTTTCCTTTCTGCTTAAAGCTATCTAGCGGCTTCAAGTACAGTATATATAGTAGGCTAGCATTTAGGAAGGCATTAACAGCGTCCATTTGTTCAGCCTCTAGGTTAAAGGTAGCGGTAATTACTATTAGGGCTCGGAACACCCTCGCTGCTAGTGTAGAAGCGTATATATCTAGGTATACACTCTTCTATAGATTACCCCTTGTATACACTCTTGCCTTGAATTTAACTAGCCGTCTATTAGCATTACTTTTGTATTTGAATACCTAGGTAAGAGGTAGGAGGTATATATTATCCATTAGTTCCTCTATGTCTACCTATTTAAATATACCTATCTTCAAGGCCTTATTGAATTCCACTCTTATAGCGTGTATCCAATGCTCCTTATATTTGCTCTTTATAACTTAGCGCTAGTTACGTAGCTCGGCTAGCAGGTCTAAGACCTTTAGTATAAGGCTTAGATTATGCTCGTCGCGTAGAAGTAGTAGTAGTTCTAGTAAAGGTGAATTAGGGGGATTAGGCTTAGATCGATTAGGCTGTATATAGCGTGCTTTATGCTCGGCGGCTATGTATAGGCTACTAAATAGAAGGAGGTTTCTCGCTTGTTCTCGGTCGCTAATATAGTAACGGCCGGCTCGGTAGATAGCCGCTACTCGCTGTCGTTTGTTTAGGTTATTAACTCGATAATACGGACCTCCTATGTTTAGTAAGTAACGATGAGACATATTAGCTGCTTCAATTAGCATTAGCAATTTAGCTAGCTCTGCGCGCAGTAGATTAAAGTCTATGTCGTCTGTATAACCTAGTGCGTCTACATTGTCTATAGGAACATTATTACTAGTATCGTTCTTAGGTGGTTGCTAAATAGTTGGTTCTACTAATCTATCTAGTACGTTATTACGCGGTTGTAGTGCTTCGCGTAGATCAATTAGAAAGTCTTGTTTCTATAGTTAAGGCACCTATACAAGCTGAAGCTTAGCTAGTGCTAGTAGTTCTAGAGGTGGATCTTGTCTAATAGGCTCATCTACTAGCCCTATAGGGTCAACTATTATAAGTCGACTAGGTCCTATTAGTATATCCACCCCCTTAGCTCTAAACCTAACAAGGTCTAGAGGTATATCGTATACTTCTCGAAGCTCGTTAAATTGATGCTCCGAGGCAGGTGCTTATACTTCTTCGTAATCGAGATTACTAAACTAAGCCAATTCTTAGTTAGTAAGGTTAACTCTAAGATTATTATCGTATCTATCGTAGAATAGGGTTTTATTAAAGACAACATCTCTTGTCCGTAGGACTGTTATGCGTAATAGTACCTAAATCCTATAGATTAAATGGCCTTCGTAACTATATAGGTATCTAATATAAGTGCGTAAAGCTACCTTTATAGTCCTTAGCAGGATGTCCTTTCGCTTGTGTAATGCTAGGCCTTTTTCCGTACTATAGATTAGTAGATAGGCTCGTGCACTAAATTGATATATATAGGCTATATTAGGCTTGTGTCTAGTTCCGATTTCAAATGGTGTCCTTATTGAATAGTCTATAGAGCGTAACCTTAGTAAACGATTGATTAAGAAGGTTGCTGTATAAACTCCTTCTAGCTATAGCTTATATAGGAAGCGTACGTGTATTATAAGGGCCCTAGCCACTTCGATAATTGTACGGCCTGCTCGCTCTACTAGGTCTTGCTTAGGGGTGTATAGTGCTAATAGCCTCTAGGTAGTATAGTTATTGCGTAAATAGGACCGAAAGCGCATTCTACTAATAGCTCCCTTATTATCGGATAACAGGTAGATAATATCCCTTCTAATACTACGTGCAAATGAGGAAAGTTGGCTCTAGTATTGCAATAAGGTCGATTTAGTTCGATTACTAATAGTCTAACTAAAGTGAAGTCCTGTATTCAAATCGTATACGTAGAAGAGGTATTAGTCTCTATTGTAGGCCGTATCCAGTTGCATTAAGTCGGCTGCAATGTATCTATATAGAGTCAATATTGACACGTTATAGTGCCTTAGCCTCCTAGAAATGAGCTTCTTGCCCTTTGCTTGTATATACGTAGGACAGTGTAGTATTCTTAGAACCTTATTGTTATGTAAGTGATCCCTTTTTATCCTATCAACTCGGTTAACTAGCTCTTCCGCTCTTTTAGCGCCTAGGTGCCTAAACACCTTATATATTTGCTTAAGTGTAAGCTTTCTTGCTAGTAGTAGGCGTACGGAGCGACGAGCTGTTGCGTTAGCTATTAATTTGGATATTGCTAACTAAGATAGTTAGAATAGGTACTTAAGCGGCTTGTTATCTAAATCGACTAGCTATTCGGTTAGTAGTAGTGCTTTATCTACTTTGCTAACAATATCGAAGTAGGGCATCCCTTGTATTAGTCTAATGAATTTAACTAGTAGCTTGTATTGTAGGCTGTAAAGGGTATCATCTATTTCTTAGTGTTTGAAACCTCGTTAGAAGAAGAAGGTACCTCCTACGATGTTAGTATAGAAGTTAGGGATATATAGGCATTCCCTTAGTTCAATCTGTAGGGGCTTACTACTAACAGCTATAATAGTAAAGGATGCTATTCCGATAGCTACTACCTTGTTATAACTAGTGCTAGTTGCTATAGTCGAGGAAGCTAGCAATAGAAGTAGTATAAAATTGAAGCGGCTAGGATAGTTAATAATGTTGCAGTTTGAGCTACTATTATACATTAGGCTATTGAATGGATTCTACTCTATTAATGTTGATGCTGCTATACTAAGGTAGGTAGTAGGCCTAACTGCCCTAGCAAATAACGGTGCATTAGCGTAGAAGAAGTAGGCAAGAGAGAGCTTATCTAGTATAGAATCCTCGTTGCTTTCTAGTCTATAGTGTTCCTAAGCAATTCGGATAGCTAGTAGGTCCTTAAAGAACTTAGCCTACCTTAGATAGAAGCTCTTGTTCTTACGCAGGTATGTCTCAAAGTGCTTTAGCTTAGCCTTCTACTTATTGTCCTTATCCTTCTCTTTAACCTAGTTACGTAGGCGGTAGTTAACTACGTTGCATTTGCCTCGGTTCTTACATACCTTCTTCTTACTAATACTAGTGAGTTTAGCATACGTCTTCGGTATACGGCTGCTGCTGCGGCTCTTGTTCTTATTGGATCCTTCGCTATTATTTTTACTAGCGGCTTAAAGGGCGGTATTGGCTTGTAGAGCGGTATTGCCTTTACCTGTTTCTTCGTAGATAATGCCAAATAATAACCCCTTCTTAGTGGAAGCACCTAGCATATTACGGGCATATTCTCGTACTATACTAATAAGTTAGAAGAAGTGATTGGTGTTAGGTAAGGCCTAATGCATTATATAGAGTCCTTTCCTATAGGTTTCATCTATATTAGTAACTGCTATATAGAGATAGACTACTATATTATCTAGTTCTGAGTGCTATATACGTCTTATCTTCTTATACAGATTAAGCTACTCCTTATACTACTGTTCTAGATCCTTAACTTATCGTAACCCTATTAGGCGAGCTAGTTCCTTGCTAACTATTATTCTTTGCTATTGTGTATTTAGAGCAAGCTTGTCCTTTAGACGAACGAGCATAACACGCAATGTTAGTATTATTATATTATCGTTATCAGTGATCTCTGAATGATAGCGTATGTCTATAGTAGTAGCTAGGTATTCGATAGACTTGTTACGTACTAACCTAAATCGATTGTATTCCGCTAACTAGGCCCTATAGATGTCTATAGCTATTTTGACTCCTTGCTAGTATAGAGGGTTAACTAGCATACGCGCTGCGTCTAGTGTAGGGGTTACAGGTTGTGCTAGTTCTACAGGTTTATTCGCATATAGATTAGTATATATCCAGGTCTCGTATCTAGTAAGATGTGTCTTAGTTTGCTTAAACCAGCGGTCCTAGTCGTTTAGTCCTCGAAGGGTGATGTATTTAGTACCGCTAAGGCGACTAGCCGATGAGAGAGCTATTATTAACGATATGCTGATCTTATAGGCGCTTATAGAAGCTTAATTAAATGGTGTTTTGGTGCTGCTAAGACTACTAACTGTTATCTTATACTATAGAAGTCTCTAACACTACGGATTCCCGGGCTTATAACTATTACGCATAGCGTAGTGGATTACTTACGTAATACTGCCTTGCTAGCTGTTCAATATAGCTTCCTTGATTGCCTATGTTCTGCTTATTCTATAGTCTAAAATACAGTGTGAACATCCTTCTCCTGCTAAGAGGACACGTGTTGTTATGTGACCGAGCTTATGCGTTACATTTTACGCGACCGGGAGATCTAGAATCTTTCTAAAGCGAAATACAACCTTGTTACCTATAGGCTAGGTACCCCGCTACTAGAATTGTAAGCGGACGGGACAGGGACGGCAGGTGGTTCTACTGTGCATCGCTAGGCGTAGTGTTGCTATAGGGTGTTATATGCATTCGTAAAGCCGCTTAGTAGTGCTTCCTTCCCGCCTACTTACTAAAGGCCGATCTACCGTAATCTTCGTAGAAGTCCGTCTACGATATACGAATAAAAATAAGGGGGAATTAGCACGGTCCTTATTCTAGTCTCCGACCGGCTTCGCGAATATATAATATACCCTATAGGTTAGGGTTTTTTAAGAGGAGAGGAAGAGGTAAGGAGAGATTTAGACGCAACTACGTCGCTAACCTACGCGTAGATAGTAATATTCGAATATTAGTTATTAGTATTTTTTTCATTTATAGAAGTTTATAGCTAATAGCTTATTTAAAATTACAAGTTAATTATTAGATAGATAGATAGATAGATAGATAGATATTTCATTTGCCTATTATAGTGCCTTTCGGCCTATATAGGTCTGTTTCTATATATTGTTTTAGGTAGGAAACCAACTTAGTTAGTAAAAACCTCCCTCCTGTCCTATTTATAAGTGTTGCTCTTCCTCGTTTCCTTGTTTTCCTTCCTTTAGGGTATACTAGTATTATAGTTGTTACCCTCTGACTACCTTACCTACTACCCTACCCTTCTTTCCCCCTCTTCTTCCCTCCTTCTTATCTACTCCTTAGTTTCCCTTACTAGTACGAATTGTTATACAAATCCCTATTTAATAATCTACTTTACTATCCTCTTTAGGTCTTCTTTACTCTAGATTAGCTTGTCGTATTCCCTTTCTATTGCTTTTAGTCTCTAATCGCTTCTGCCTTCTAACTATTAAGGGTAGACTAGCAGTATATACTTAGGGTTCTAAGATTGGTAGCTATATTAGTA